GTGTATACACAATGCTGAAACATGCAATATGCATTATTCAAAGGCTTGAAAATTATTCAGCTTATCAATTAATTCGAAATTCAACGGAGACCGACTTTCACAGTTTTAATGCTGGAGATTTTGGACGGAATAAGCTTGATTTCCTCGAATTCGTTCGGTCCAATTTTTGTGTCTGTGCGATCAATTGCTGAACGAATAAAAAAAAATATGCCACTCGAATTCAGTTCATTTCGAAGAATTTCGAACGGTGTAAAACCATTTGGCAATTTCAGTTTGGCCGCTATGATAATAAATGATGATTCGGCGAATTTTGCCTATTTTTGAGAGTACATTTTCTATCGTCTCTTTTTCTCTGGTAACAACAGTTGATTCGGGGTTTTTGCCGTCGTAGCATAAAATCCCCGATATAATCTGCATGGTCATGCAAATGTGTGTATAGGCCGTCCCATCGGAACGCCAAATGGAAATTGCCATTGTGTAAAAGCGAAACATGAATAAATGGCTGACAATCAGAGGGACAAAAAAAAAGTACACACACACGCATCGATAATAAATCAATTGTGGGAAAGTAAATGGCACCAAAAAAAAGCGATTCATATTCCTTCAATATTTGCTCAATGCATGTATGATGGCTAGATATTTGTTTAGCTGAATAATTAATATATTGATGTGGCCTGGCATGCGCGCCTAATCATCAAAGAAAATGTATGGTATTGCATGACAACTTTATGTCACATCGTCGAACGGCAACAATATCAACAACAACAAAAAATGATAATAGAATAATTATTTACCGCTTTTAACAGACAAACACCATATCAACATTAAATGATGTTTTTCTATTTGCCGCTGATAACGAAATGAAACGGTTCGCCTGTGTGTGTGCATATATTTTTCTCTCCACCTATTTTAATATTTGTCCGATTCGATCTCGGACTTGGTGTAGTCAACATTGACGATAGAGTCCGTCTATATCTCAGATCTCAGTTGCATGCTTTGTGCCTGAAACTGGTAATGAGCAGCAGCATTTCGATTGTTCATAAATCGAATTCGATGGAGAGAAAAAAAAATGAACGACACACAAATTATTTATAGTCTGGTCACGCTTTTTTGTAAGTTGGTTTGAAATTGGAATTGGCTTTTAACTGTTAATGCACATGCACTCACACTTGTAAACAGTTCGATTCGAAATGCGTTTATTATTATTTATTGAAAAAATATTGCCGCGTCATAATTTGAATCGACTGGAAGAAGTGCGAGCGATTACAATGAGTGAAGCTAGCTCGAAAGAGTATGAAAAAGGACAATAACAAACAACGAAAAAAAAAATATGGACAGGCTACAAATAACCATCAATGACGGCGGTGGCAATTTAAAATTGATGGAAGTACAAAAATATCAAAACGAACAGAGAGCTGCAGAGCAAAAAAAAATTATTGAAGAATTGTTGGGAATGTGCTGCTTCTATGTTCGACTGCATGTGTTGTGTGTAAATGTGGCTGCTCTTTTTTTTTTCTTATTCTGTTGCTGCTGATACTTTTTTTCTCTCGTTTAGTTTTGGGTTTCGGCTTGCATTAGCTTCGGAATTTTTGCTTCGGTGCCTGTCATTTACCTGCAGAAATGCAGAAAACCATCCACACACACAGTGAGTGAGAGAAAAAAAAGTATGTGTGCAGACTGATCAACTAAAAATATGTGTAGCTAACGATGTAGTTCTTCTCTCTTCGCATATGTGCTCTTGTGTCGATGTACACATTTTTTTTGTGTGTATGTATAAAAACAACTCAGACTTTTGTGTATAGTGCTGTTCGTCGAGGTTGCCTTTTTTTCTGTTCTTCTGTGAGTTGTGGGCCCCTGCACAATTTTTTTTTCTTCGTTTTTTTTTTTGGTTTACTTTTTCCATCATGTATTTTATGAATTTGGTGAAGATAGCCGGGACCCAGTCTTTGGTTGAATGTGCTTCGTTTTGCGCACAACTACTTTATTCCCGAATTGAGAAAGACTGTGCGCGCGATAGAGAGATTTGATTTTTTGATTATATTCGATGTGGTTGATTTTTCTTTTGGTAGACAACCTTTTGTTTCTAATTGCAAAACTCGCCGTGAAAATCCAGTTAGATAAAGATCTTGATATTCTTATTTTTTATATCTTTCGTTCATTCTCTTTGCGATGCAGCGTAAAAATGAACCAAAACCTGCATAGTCGTTTGCTACTTGATAGACAATTTACGGTATACTAGGATTTGTGAGCGCGATTCATTCACTCTCTCAACGTCATGTTGCTGTTGCCGATGTTGTGCAATGGAAAAAACGACAAGAAGAATCGACAAGAAAAATGTGCTCTCGATTTTCGGGATTTTATTATCGGATAGAGCTTTAAATGGCTCACGAATTTGTTTGACTAGTTAGAATTCAAGCGTTGATTTTTATCGAAATGTAGTACTTTGCTAAAGTATACTTCATCTTGTTGCTGTTTGCCAATTTTATAAAATCCATATACATCTACGGTTTATTATGCACCCGCTGAGCTTCATTTTCAGTCTTTATCACCTTCAATCGGTTTCTTTTTCGTGAGACTTGCTCACAAAAAATTCGTCTAGATATTTATATTTAGAAAGAGAGAGAAAGAGAGAGAGATGCGATATTTGCCATTCTCAACGATATTCGATTTCAAAGAGTAATTTTGTGTGCGCCCATAAAATCGATCGACCGTTGATTAAGTGGCTTTAATTTGTTTATCGCAATAAATATCTTTCTCTCTGCGAAACGAGAAATTATAGTTGTTTTTTGAACAAAAATAACACAACAATAAAAAGATGATCTACGTGGAGCATACAGACACACATACACACGCCGGCACATACCATAATATTATATTTTGGTGTCCAGAAGCAGAAACAAGCAAAATCCACGAAATAAGATTTATTTATCAGGTTTTATCGTTGGTGTTGCTGTTTCTGTTGTTGTCATTGTCTGCATATCTGTCGCCTTGCTTACTTATTCCATGATGTCGTTCACATGAATATTTATTTCGTGTAAAGTTTATGGGTGATTATTTCGGCTATGACAATTTTCGAGCGGTGTGAGCGATAAATTAAGCAATACAAACTGGTAGGTGATTGGGATCAAAGGCAACTTCAACAAAACGACACTCTACTCATTCATACACATACCTTTATATATTGAATACGATGCGATGACGCAGAATACATGATTTTTCGATAAGAAAGCGAATTCGTTATTTATTTATTTATTATTATTTTGTGTCGAATCAAAAAAAGAAAAGAAAAGGGAATGTTGTTAACGAAAGAATTCGTTATTGGAATAAATGAATTGGCGATGAATAGACCACCCGAAGGACGAAAATTTCATTCGATGGCACGTTTTAAAATCGAAACACGTACTATGCAATTGTTGGCGCTATTCCTTTATCGAACACATAATAGGCATGAACTCTATTTTCGAATAGATATTTTTTTTCGGGAATTTTTGCTCTACAATTTCGGGGCGTTGTTGTTGCCTTTTAACTTTGCCGCCAGCATGCCAATGACTGATACAGATAAAAAAAACCAATAATTTTTCACATTGCAACCACTTCGGCACCGATGCATTCGGTGAGTGGTGCAAAAGCAACAGCATAAAAACAAAAAAAAGACAACGACCACATAGCCAACTTACGAAACAGCCGCTTAGATTAGATTCTTTGTGCATGTATGTATATTTTTCAATATATGGAATGGATTTTATGTGCGTATTTTGTAATTTAACAAAAATTTGATGTTTGTTGCATACATTACGCACATCCATAACATGCAAACACACAAATTACTGTGAACCAACAAAACCACACGGTTTGTACGCTATTTCTTGGTGGCTGACTGACGGGCTGGTTTGCCCCTTATCGTCTGTTTGTCATTTGGCGTACATGGAGCGGTTCTGTAAAAGAGATTGAACAACAGAAAAAAAACATGCCGGAGAAATTTAAACAAAACTAAAACAAAACGACGCCGATATAAACTCTTCGTGTGTCTTTTTAACGAATTGATTTATTTCCCATTTGCTTCAGTTTTATTGATGTTTGAAACAAGTACACTACACAAAATTGACGTATTCATGTATATATAGAACCGATAACAAGGTACAGAGAGGCAACAACAACAACAATCGTCTGCGTGCAACAAAAAATAATTGTAAGCGGACATAAAAGCCAGCGAAAAGCAATAAATGAACTAATAATGTGCCGGAATTGTTTCATCGTTCAAACAAACATGGAAATAAACAGGCACTTCACAATAAGCAAAACAGAAAATATACATATACGTATCCATCATATGCATTCAACGGTGATTTTGTTCGTCAGTTGTTGTTTTTTCACTTAATTTTCGATTTTTGAAATGAAAAAACAGAACAAATCACCATTTAAAAAAAATATTCACTTTGTTCGCTTCCGAGAGATGCGATTATATGGCTCACAAATAATAAAGAACCAAAAAAAAATGTTTTATACAAGCCGCAAAATCATTTACACGTATATACACACTAATTGAGTTCATTTTCTCGCTTATATTTTTCAATTGATTTCAATGCGTCAGTGCACACCAATAATGAAAATGATACACCAATAGTACACATTTTTCGAATCGACAATTATTTTTTAACAATGGTCAAAAATGTAACAAAATTATCGAAAAACTGGCTCAATCAAAACTATAAACATAAACACAACAGAAAACGTACGTTCGAGTCGGTTCGAAAAACAAATGCAATTGTTCTTTGGTGCTTCTTTATTTTTCGTTTTGTATAATGAGAATTTGATGAATGCAATGATTTAGTTGATCGTTGAATTTAAAAAAAAAGATATATACATTTTCGATAGCAAAAATTGATATCGGTTTTATGCACGAATAGAATTAAAAACGATAAATAAACATAGATTTCTGAGACATAGAAATAAATAAGTTTCATGTTGATTTTCATTCGACGTTTGTTTTTTTTCCGTACCTTTTACGATGAATCCGTAATTTTGTTGACAGACGAATATTCTGTTTTTCAATTGATGTAGAAAATAATGAAACACTTGAACATTCGCGGAATCAGGAACTCAAGTTATCGTTTTTCAATAGTTCACATAAAACACTTTTTCGTTCGTATTTTTTTTTTTACTTTTCTTTATATTTTGTTGAACAGTTCAAAATGTTTGTTAGTGCTGTGCACTATTTTTGTTTTAATTTGATAAACAGTCCTGTCGGAATCAAATAGTCCCAAATGCAAACACTAATCACTAAATTACTCTCTCGCTTACTTCACTCGAATTAGATAGAATAACGAGAAACGTCTCATGGACGAGGAAAAACCAAAAGAATCTTCACCTCCGTATATTTTTATCGGTTGTAACGCATCAACGTTCCAAACTCTACTAGCTGCACAAGCAAAATTCATCGAACTCTCTTTCAAACACGGCAAACCGTACAAAACGCTTTCTCACAATGTTTACCATTCGATGCGACGTTGATTGGAACCGAAATATTCTCTTGCATTGTATACGCACGCACACACACACCATCAAACACCATCATACATGCGCTCCGCAAGAGCATACGACACACCAGCGAGAGTATAGAGCATAACTGGCCACCATTGAAAAGCAACAAGGAGCGTTTTGATTGTTTTTAATTTTAATTTTTGATTTTGTTGCGATTGAAATAGAGAGAGAGAGAGAGAGCAAAGGAAAGATAGAGAAAGAGAGCATGAATTTTTAAAAGAGAAAAACCAATGTGAGAGAGCGGAAACAAGAACGATGCCGCTTATGCATGCACATATACAAATGCAATGGGACGCACTATCAAATTGCTTTGTCTGTCGTTCAAATGCCAAAATGCTTAAGTCATACAGTACAACGCTGTTTTCCATTCATAGCACTTTTTGTATAATTTGATTCCATTGCTTTCGTTCGCTCTCTCAACCATGTACATGTATATATGCGTACGATGGTATTGGTATGTTATGCCATCCGCGACACTCTCGGTTGCTTCGGTCCGACACACAGCCGCACACAGAGAGTAATGCGGGAACGCATTTGGTTAAGGTAACCAACACAAATGAATGCAACGAGACGGAGATATCCTATATCAAGCATGCTTTAACAAAACAGCATAACGAAGAACGGCACAACAAAACAGAAAATGTGGAAAAATTTTGGAATGTTTATGCATTGGACGAAACTATAAGATTTTTCAATGTATTTTATGCATTCTTCGAAATGCGATCGCCTCAATCTCGAATACGATGTACGAACAAACCGAACAAATGAGAATCTCAACAAGCAACTACAAAAAGAAACTCCAAATGAATTTCGAATTGTGAGAGAATGACGCGCTCTCGGTTATATATCCTTTGTTAAATGTATGAGTGAGAGAGAGAGAGAGAAATTTGTAAAGCAAACTTTTGTTATGGAATTACCGTGATGTGTGTATAGTTTTTTTTATTTTATCGGCGTTGTACACATTCGCATTCATTTCGTTTACTATATACGCTCCTTATTTTGTATTGCACACGTTAAACCCATATTATTTTCTTTCCTTTTCTTTTTCGTTTGTTGCGTGTGCAAATTATTGTTGCTTCTGCTTCTTCTCTCGTTTGTAAGCGAACTTGTTTACATTGTACTCGATTACCGGAGAGAGAAGATGCACTCACCAACACAAACACACGCACACACATACATCGCTCCAGAGATAGAGAGAGTCAATTTTTGCATGGATGCATGCTTTATGGAATATGACGATGATACTGTGATATGCTGATGCTTTTGTGCCGTGTTGGCCTTTCGACCGCATTTAATTATAAATGCATCGAGAGGAAACGAGCAGTCGAGCTTCAAACTTTTCGATAGAATATCCAAGTATGCGATTTTACGTCTATTTTTTCGCTTTTCTCTTTCTCTCTCTCTCTCTCTCATTTTTTTGGTTTCCTATTGATCATTCTCACTCCATCACACTCTGGCTCGTTGAAGAAAAACTTTTTTAAGTAGTTGATTGAAAAACGATGATTTCATGGCCAGCAGAAAAAAAATGCTGATGACGAACAAAGTTTGATAAGAGTTACAAACGAGAAAAGATAATGAGATAAAAGTAAATTTTGTCATTGAAACGATATTGTGCAAACTATCTTTATTTGGATTAAAATATTTGAATAAAAAAAACCTAAAACTCATATACGTGATGCGGATTTTCTGATCATTCATTTCGTTTTCATCACATTGGATTATATTTCGCTTAAGATGCCATTGCTGCAAGTCTTCCGCTTTTTTCTTTACCAAATCAACTGCAATTTCACTTTAGTTTTAAATATAATTTTTTTTTTTGTCTACCAATCTTCCTTCATCGCCCTTGATTTATACACGGTGCACCGATTAATCATCAGCAGATGAAAAAGGACGGCGCTATTTTGATCGTTCATTGAAGATTTATAAGCAATTTATTTATTTTTTGCCTTTCAATACTCTATCTGATGGTGGGTTATATGTTTTTCTCGGTTCCGCTCTTCTTTTGATTTTTTTTAGATCGTTCTGAAATTATATACGTTACAAAATGAGTTTATCGAAAGTTTTACGTTGAGAAAATTGCCTTCTGCATGGTGTATTACAAGGTGAATGTAGTCCTATGTAGTACTTAATTTTTATTGTTTAAAATATGGAATTTCAACGAAAAACATATTTATTGCAAATGCAATCAACAAATGGGGCGAGAAACATCGGTCATAGCCGTAGCTGATGGATACGAAACAATGTCGATCGAAAATCAACGATCGATGTGTTGTGTGTTTTAAAACCACAAAATTCATTGCAATCGACGCGACGTTCACTTTGAATGCAATGGCAATGTCTATTGTATTTATTATTGATGGTCGATCCTCTTCGAACATGTGTTCTTGTCTCTTGCTCTTCTTTTCGGTTTTTTTTATGTTTATGGTGTATCGGCTGTCGGTGAACGAATTCAATCATGCTGTGTTTTCGGGATGCGAAATACATCAATTTCTTTTTTTATATTCATCCTTCTCTTTTTCTATTTATGTTCTTCTTGGTTTGGCTCCTTTGTGTGCATTTCATATGCACTTGACTGCACAACAATGCACCAAAGCCATTCAACCTAAAATTGAATATTTTGCCTGTACACAGACACACAAGAAGTGGCGGCAATTGTAAAGATGCCGACGATGACGACGACAACGACGATGATGATCTCGTTCATCAGCATGAAAAGGGGATGATATCCAATAAGAGAACAGTCATTCACTTGCAACATGACTTGTATCATTTCTTCAATTTTTTTTTCTCATTTGTTCATTGTGTGTTTGTGTCGATTTCATTATTATTATAATACATTACTTTCACACAAAATTATTTTCAAATTGTGTGTATACTTTAAACAGAAATTTGCTTCATTTGTGTATCAGTAGAAATTTCAGTTGTATTACTTTTTTTTATCCTTAGGAGAGAAGAAAGAATTTGTTTCGCAGCCACTTGAGAGGCCACATTATGTGGTCATTCAATAGATTTGCCACGCTCTAAATATAAAAATTCTTCAATTTCATTCAACTCACTTGATTTTCAATGCAATGTTCAATGATATTTTGGTATCGCCTTTTTTTAGTTCCATTCGATATTTCAGAGTTTATTTATTTTCGTTTGAAAGGAACATGGTCTTTTCTTTTGAAACGTATACATCCAGGCAAAATTATTCTTTAAATAGAATAATTTTCTATTTTAATCCAATTTCTACTAGATTACGGATGATTCGGCAATGCCAAATCGAAATTGTTTCGCATAAAAGAATAGTTGTCGTGAAAGAAGACACAAGAAAGTGCAACTTCAATGGATCATTTTTAATTAGTTGAAAAATCACTACCACCAAGACCACCAACAATAACAAAAATTAAAGAACAGATCTGAAGAGAGCTACATTTTCATCGGAGAAAAAACAAGACTCTTCTCTCATGAAACTAAGGAGAGTATAAATTAGATATGAAGAAATGAATGGGGAAATCGAAAACTCAATCGATTTTTGATCTGAAAAACCTTTTCATTGGCCAGTATAATTTTGAGTTTTTCTGTCAAATCTAATGAAATGGTTACAATATTTTTTATGTGACTGCCTAATAAAATATTTCGGCACGTTTTTCCTGTTGATTGTTGTGTCCGTGCAGGCGAGCAAGTGCTCATATTCAAACTTACGTCTGCATTTTCCAATAAGTTGTGAGTCACGTCAGCCAAGTTATAGATATATAGATGTGTGTGTGTGTGTGTTATTGAATGGGCAAAAAGTTTGAAGAACATTGAATATGGTTTTGATTGAATTGTTTGCAATGAAGACGTCGACATCGTCATCGTCGGCAGTTGTTGTTGAATCGGCACGACAATACATGATGACAGGAATTCCGATATCGTTTGTTGAAATTGAAAAATGCGGCAAATAAAAGTGGAAATTCGGTATTGAGGTTTTTTCTCTCTCCCCCCGCCACTTCTTTCGTTTCTTTTCGTTGTGAATTCGGCGCGGGAATGCATGTCGTATCGGCTGAAGCAAACAAGGAAGAAAAAAAAATTACGATGTGCTTTGATAGAAAAATTGAATTATTTTTTGAAAAGCATTTCGAGTGCACATCATACATATATGCTGGTGCATTGTTGGAATCTAATTATAGAAGCAACTCAAGTATCGTCTGTGTAATCAATCAAAATCAAGTTTCTAATTTTCCAATGTATGTGTGCATTGTGCAATGAAGCAATCGTGTCCATCACATCCATCGATGGGATGCATCCCGAATGTATGCCAATGCATATATGCCCTTTTAGTTTATAATTATCATATTGCACCTTATTCAATTAAAACACATGTGAACTGTGAGAAAACGAACGAACGAATGAGAAAAAATAATATTAAACATAATTATTGTACATGAAAAAGAGTCTGAAGACTATACAATAGCAATTAGTAGTAATGCAATTGTAAGAGCTACACAGTTTGAAGAAAAACTCATGCTCGATGATTTTACCACAACAAAATGTTCTTTGATTTGATGTTTTCCACTATATTCCCGTAAGTGAATGCACATTCTCTGTATATGGGAGTCTGTGATTTAATTAGCCATAACATTGAAGTAGGTTCCATCTTCGATGTGGAATGAATCGACGCACACAACCACACACACACACACACCCATACACAATCTTTGTCGATCGGAGTAAAAATCAAATTATCTATCAGCAAGAGTATGCATTGCCCTCAATCTTTAATATAAAAACAAATGTTTCCTTTCTGGTTTTGCAATGTCGACAAAAGCAATGGCGACAACAGTATCTATTGCCTTTTTGCCCTTGCTCTGTGTGTCTTTGTACTGTTGCTCCTTCTTTTAGCCTCAGCTAATTCGCACTTTCTCTCTTTTCCTCTTTCTATTTTCTTGCTCTCAATCGTTTTCCCTCTAAAATAAATTATCTGAAATGATTGCCCGACTTGGTATCCTACAAGTGGTGTTTTTTTTCTCTCTCTATGTGTGTGTTCTTCTTTTGGAAAAGTGTAATTTCTGCAGCATCTTTTCCTTCGTCTATTCCAAGACTTCGTATGAACGACTTTTAAACGACGCACATTTCGTCTAATGGCATCTCTCGATGCTCTCTCCTTCGCTCGCACTCATTTTGTCATATCGTTTGACTCTATTTTTCAAATCAAATTCAATTACCAAGCACTATCAGATATTTTCAAATGAAATTTTCATTGTAAACACTAATTTCATTACACATTTCGGTGCTCATCATCGGCACTCATGTTCTCTTATGTGTTTTGCTATTGCCTCTGTTGCTTTGCACGCTTTTTTTCTCTTATTCGTCTTTCATTTTGTAACCACATTCGCGTCATTTTTGCCCTTTTGTTTGAAAATCTACCACACACTCTGTCTCTTCATCTTTTTAGTCTTCACGTCAAATGTCCAAAACATGATTTCTAATGAATTTCTTTTGTACTTTCATCATTTTGTGTGACAATCCATTAAAATTCTCAAACGCATAATCAAAGCTAGACACAATATCAAAAATTTCAAGCAATTTAATTATGATGATTTTAAGTAAGAAAAAAAAAGTTGTTTGCCTTTCGATGTCAAACATCCTAACGAATTTTCCATCTCATTTTTTCTCTCACTCTTTACCCTTATCTCTCCTCTCTCTCTCTCTCTCTCTCTCTCTCTCTCTCTCTCTCTCTCTCTCTTTGCCACTCTCGATGAACTGAAAAATCCCTCAGATGTAATCTGCAACTCTGAATATGGCATGAAAATTCCATAAGATGACGAACGTCATCTGTTTATTTGTGCAAATGTCGAGTATACAATATTAATCTGTCAAATCTAAATTCAACAATTTACATGCATACAAAAAATAAACTAACTATATGAAGAATTACAAGCCGAAACTGAGATTCGTGCATTTTGATAGCTTCCTAAGGATGATAAGATACAAAGAATGAGAGAGAGAGAGGGAGAGAGAGAAGAGAGATTTGAACTTTAAATCATTTTGAAAATTCCAGTATTTTTGGTTATTATTCAATACAGGGTGTTTGAGATTTGGATATTGTTCTAAAAAAAATAGTTTTGTATGTGTTTGCATGCAAATGTTTGACGAAAATCTTTGCTAATCTACGATACGAAATCATAGACACGTTTCCAATGTGATTATTATTTATAAGCATGTATAATGCCATGTTCGACAGGGAGAGAATATGCGTCTCAGGCATTTATTTAAATCATTCGCTCGTTATGTACATACGCAACAAATTCAAGAGTAAATTCATAAACACACACGCATTCGACGGACGTTTACGCATCAAAATCTCTCTCCATCTCTCTTTCTCTTGTGCGTTACATGAGACACAAAATTATTCTTGTTGACTTTTTTTTTGTTGTCGTTTTGCTGTTGTACGTTACAGTTCTTGCAAATGATTTTCCGATTAAATCAACGATTATCTCGTTACGAATGGCCAATTATTATTTTTTCAATGACATTGAAGTTTTTTTCTATTCACCTAAGATTACCGTTGCTGATGCTGGCGTGAATTGAACCTTGACACTTTTTCTTCGAAGTAATAGAGGCAAGGCATCGAATCACAAATTCGACAGAGATACAATGTAATATATGCGTATATGGTGAATACTTCAACTAATCTGCCCATTGAAATGCAAGCCCCAAACCAGCTTCCTGTGAATCATTTGTGTGTGCGAGTGAGAAGTGTTTGCTTTCGATTATGTGTCTGTCGTAACCAAACAAAATGCTCAATCCCTTTTTTAATTGTCAGTCACGTTTTTCGATTAATACCCTATTTGTTTTGCAATCGAAATCATTCGTTACTCTTTTACATTAATACCACTCTTTCAATTGATTTATACGTTTGAGAGCGAAAGAGCTAGAGAGTGTGATGTGATTAGAATTGATCCAATGTCTATGCCCAGTTTAAATGTGGCACTTTTGGCATGAGGTTATACCCGGTTGCAAACACCACCAAAAAAAAGAATGCAATTGTTTGTGTCGCCTCTTCAAGTCTCTCGATCGGATGATGTTTCGAAACTTAACCAAAATCTTTTTTACTTAACGAAAACGTGCATTACACAATTTCAATTACACTTACGATCCATGTTGTGGTTTCACTGTCTTCAATGTTGCTACTGGCGTAAATTGTAATTAAATCCAAACTGAAAACTTGAAAATTATCAATTGTTATTCAAATAATAAAATTCATTGAAACTCTTATCGCATTGCCCAAAATAGACATGCAATCACACTTTGTACTTTAATGTGATTTCATTCAATTGTCATCGACGACCCAACACCACAGCGAGAGTGTAAGTAAATTTGATGACACATTCATATTGAAGAATAAAAAAAAAACAACAACCAAAACGAATGGGCCAAATGAACAAGAAAAGAAAAGTCGGAGAATCAAAACAGTGTGCCAATTTACGTTCGAAAATATTCTTACAATTTAAATTGAGCTTTTGTGTTTTGTTTATTGTTTGTATACGTTGATTTTACCGATAGCGTAAATTCAAAGCGAATGCTGAGAGAAAAAAGAGGCAGAGAGTGAAAAGTGAATTGAAAATGTATGTGTGTGAGAGAGAAAAAGGGCCACTACATATAATCTTCAAATAAGTCCACTTACATCTTACAATTACTATACAAATTTTCCATTGAATGAAATGGAATGAATGAATGAATGCCAAAGCATTTCTATATGCTAAAAGAATCTGACAACCGAAAGCAACATAGATACCGAGATAGAATCGGCGGTAGTGGATTGGATACAAGTAGAGAATAAAGAAAGCATTTTCGATGAATATTTATTATCATTTCAGAGATTTGTTTCGGGCATTTTAAAAGTGAATAAAGACCGCTACTTGAACTGGGAAAAATAGGGAATTTAGTAGGTGGAGGCATTTTATTTTTATTTTTGAAAGAGAACAGAGACAAGCAGGACAAAGGCCCTAAAACACACACAGTTGCACAGTGCACACATTTAGAAGAGACATCGTATAGATTCAATAGAAAATTGTATCAGAAAACACCAAACAAAAACCGTTTCGCATTCAAAAACGGAAGCCGAATCAAAGAAGAGAAGAGAAAAAAGAAGAAGCCAGCAACACATAATCACAACAAACATAAACAAAGTTTGAATGAAAGAATTTAAATTAAAACCATTTGACAAATTTATTGAGTGAACAAGAGCAACAACAAAAGATGATGAAGAAGAAGTAGAAGTAGTACGCAAGTGATGTTTAAAAACTATCTCCGATTGTGTTCTTTTTTTTCGTTGGTGACATCGGCTTTGCTTTTTTTCATTTCTGTTCTTAGTAATCTTGAATTATGTAAAAAAAATCCTGATTCGAAAATTTTAAAGTCAAAAATTTAAATGTGAACGCGTTCGTTGGTGTCGTTATTTCTCTCATTCACATACTCTCTCTTTCTCTTTCATTTGCCCATTCATTCGATCTTTTTCTCTTACTCACGATTCCCATTCGGTTTGTGTCCGTACATTTCATTTTCATTGACAATGCTTTAATAAATAAATAATGGACTTTTATTTGGCACAAAGTGTTGACGCAATAAATACTAAATAAATGGCTCGTATTTCTGTATGTGTGTGTGCATATACAGGACGCGCTATCGTGTTGTTGATGCTGATGTTGTTGTTTTTTATTGTTATATTTCTGATTCGCTGCATTAATGGCATTGATGTACTACAGTCAAATACACACAGTCACATTGGTCTCGGACAATAAATGCGACCTCGATCGCCGAAAAAAAAAACAACAACAACAAATGTCGCTTGGCATACCTTTTAAACCGATTCAGCGACGCATACATGCTCACACACTGGTTGAGTTTGGTGATACAAAATGCGCGGATATATCGGGCGTGCAACAATGACTTTTTTCCTCCCATTGTTATTGGCGAGTACAAACAAATAAATAATGCAACGCATTCAATAATAAAAATGAAAATTTGTATTATATGGCCGCCCGTTGCATCGGTAGCCAAACAAGCGAAACGAATGTGTCAGCACTCTCTCTATCTCTCAACACTACAGACTTTAAACTGCTTTAGAAATGAGAGATTCATTTATTTATTAAACCATTTTTGATTGCATTTTTATTTTATTTAATTTTTATCATTTTTTTTTTTAATTTAATCTTTTTTTCCGATAAATTGGTCACATTTCATTCCGTTACAAAAGACAACACACACATATTCTGTCAAATGCAAACGATATGATTTAAACGTTTTGAATTAATTCACACAATTGCATTTTATCGATGCAGATAATGTGTAGTTCCTTTTGAATGATTCATTGATTGTGTGATGCGGATGGCTTGAAAAATCAACAAAACATTTTATTATTATTATTTATTTTTTTATTTAATTTTAAATGGTCTTTCTCGCTTTTATTTTTCCTCCTTTTCTTCACTTCCATCATAAAATACAAAATCAACGGACAACGCTGCATGCATTTAACTCATACGTATATTCGATTCCATATTTATGAATCTATGTTACAAATCATAAAAATTCTTAATCTAAATGCAATTATTACAGATTAATTTTTAAGAAATATAAGAAGGTTTTTTTTGTTCTATTTTATTTTAAAGTTAAGAGTTTTTCTTTTCTTGTGCATTTGAAATGCCCGGGAAAAAAACAACACCCTAATTTCTAATTGGAAACGTTGTTTTATTTTTTACATTTTTGTGTTTGTTTTTATTGAAATTGAATCAAAATGTCTCATCATTTTCATACAGTTATTTCTTATGTACAGAAGCCAAATATTTTTTTTAGTCTCTCTATTTAGGAAAATATTTTCACGAAGTGATTCTGTTAGAAATCAGCATTAAGGGATGTTCAAAAGTATTTGTTATTTTTTTCCTTTAATTTTTCGCTTGATCAGTTTATTTTATCGATAAAAACTATTTAGAAGCACTATGAGGTGCGTGAATCTTCAATGTTTGGACGATTTAAGAATTTATTACTGGATTTTATGAGGCTGTGGATGCAATTTCTATCCTTCATATTCAAATGATAGTTCGGGCGAGATTTTACTTCATCTTCGGAATAACTTTTATATTCGGCCAAATTGGAAAGTATTTCATTTTTCAATAAAAGAGAAATTGAATAAGATTCATTTTCGGTCGATGCTGTTCGGACGATTGTAAAATACAATCGAAATATGAATTCACACAATATATTTTTTTGCAACGAAACTCCGAATAAAATATGTTTTGCGAGCGGACGTTCACAAGAAATGTTCGTCGAAACTCTCCATTGGAAACAGGGATGGCAGCACTGGACGTGGAGAATGCAAATTCATCCACGACTTCAATCCTATTTTTTGCTTCATATTTTATTCTCTCTAGATAATTTCCGTTTCATTTTCCAACAGTCTTGAAGTAGTGAGAACAGAGATTTTTCATGGATTCTTCTTATAACAAATTCAATTAATGCTTTTTTTTGCGTTTTATGTTTCGCCATTTTTTGTTTCACACTGGAAAGTTTTCATTGGACAAATAATTAAGATACATTTTGGAAGATCGTTATTTTACGGATCAGCTATATAAATCACAACGGTGTCATTTCAATTTTCCTATCTCTCTTTCTCTCAGCATCACTAACACAATCAGACAAAGTTTGAAATATTCATTAAATGTTCGAATTTGAACAAAAAAAACTATGATATTATTTATAGTGAAACATGTCCTTAATTTGCATTAAGAAATCTATGTCAATTTGTGTGGAAAGCTGTCAAATTTTTTCTTTTTTTTTCACCTTTCAATTTGTTTCTTGAAATTAAAAATTAGCCAAAAGTTTTTCCATTCTTTTCCTGAATGTCCGATTCGGTTTGAATGAATTCAAACTCGCTTATATTTAACTTATAAAAACATTTCTCATATTCCAATAAATTGCAATAAATTTTGTTGTTTCGTAAGGAAATTCGATATAATTTTTTGTTAACTTTGAGTCTGATAAGTTTATATCTGTTGCGTACATTTTCACAAGCCCAACACCGAACATTTTTACGCCCTGAAGCCCTTGAAAGGCTACAAAAAAGTACTGTTATGTGTTGATTTTTTCTTTTAATTTCGTTTGCGTCCGGCTTCAATGTCCCTCTGGTTTTGTGTCGCTTGATTAGTTGTCGAATGTGATGCAATGGTGTGTGCCTCTTCCAAATCAGTTTCTTGGGCTTGCACAAGTTTTCGATGTTTTCCTGCATAAGAAAAATTAAAGAAAGAAAAAAATAACAAAATTCAATGATATGGAATGAAATGGATGTTATTTGCTATTTACTTGCTGTACGTAGCATAATCATTCCCCACCAAATTGACCAACCCCATCCAACCAGACAGAATATTAGTGTAAATGCTTGTGCAATGCCAACGATACAATTGACGAAAAATGAACCGATTCGTGCACGTGCACCGTCATGTTGTGAGAATCGCGGTATGCCCAAGCATAGGCAGAATATTCCCGAAAAAAGTGTGCCTAAAAGAAATTGGACAAACAAAGGTAATTGTACATGAATTCGATATGGGAATATGTCGGAAAATGAAGCAAATAAACATGTCAATAGCAATTATGTACCGGAACCAGGTATTAAACAATTGCAAATCAGGCAGAACCATGCCAAACCGACTGGCAAAACGGGAATGGCAGCTTTCATGAGTGATGTATGGTCCACAAGTGATTCATCAAGTTTTGGCCGTGTATCCTCTGGTGGCAGCGTCGGTGCTATGCTCTGTTTCTTGCTGTTCATACTTGTGCGACGACTTTCAATCGCCGGTTTTTTCTTGCAACACATTAATTTCTCACATAGAACGGCACAGCAGCTCCTTTTTATTTGTCCATCCATACACGCACACAACAAACATAAGTAAATAAATAAAGAAAATATAAATATTTGAATTATTATTATTTCGTTATAGTGAAGATTGGTTGTGATTCACCACTGCTGAATATAAAAACTGAGTAGAAAAAAAGGAAGATTGCACAAAGAAAAGGGAGAAAATGAAAAGTACTTACTTTTTTGGCATATTTTCGGTGCTCGTTAGACTGTCTTGTCTTCGTTCGCTCCATGCCATCGGCTCTTTCTTTTTACGTCGGCATGGTAAACATGAGCAACATCGTGCCTCATCATCTGATTCATTTCCACTCATATTTCCGTCGATGCTGGTCTGTACTTTGTTCGTTTTTCGACAACAAAATACTTTGGCCAAACACAATGCACATTTACCACGTTCTTTTGTTGCTACATCAACAGCCGCGGCAGCGGTATTGCTGACTTTTCGCATTGACTCTTCTTCCATTGTTATTACTTCGTCCATAATTTTTTTTTGTGTTTGTTTACTTTTGCGATTACAACATTTCAATCGTTTCCAACAGGAATCGGCGGTGGCAACAGCATCAGCAGCAGTTTCGGTGGCTTTCGTTTCGTTTTCATGTAAAATTGATGTTGCGATTTCAGCCGCTTTCTGTTCATCGGCTATACTTTTGGTGCGCCTACTACAACACGACAATTTTCTCAATCGACGACACGGCAAACACAATGCTGATGCATAACATGGTGTACAACATTTACATAATTTACAACATGTTGTCGGCTCATCCGATTCCGCATCACCATTTTCCGACCTACCAAATAGAAGAGAAAAATAAAAAGAAAAGAGAAAATAAACCATACAATAACAACAAACAGCAACAGTAAGGGACGAAAAGTGATTTCCACACGCACAACAGAGAAATAGATAAAATAAATAAATAAACAATCTCTGTTTGTCTACAGTTTGTGTCTCTGTGAATAAGATTCTTCGTGGAAGCAAAGTGATGTGAAGCGAGAGAAAAATTCAAAAGTTTTTTTTTTGGGAAGAACCATCATTGAAACTTTTCGAATGGCCAAAAAAGAAACCTTTGCATTCAAAATGAGTTTAGCAAAACAAAATTACTGTTTTTCTTCTTTTCGTGAATTTTGGTGCTTCGATTTCGAATCGAATATTTTATTTTTGAACCCGAGGCTGATTGAAGTTACAAAGTACGCATATTAGATTATGCTGACCATAATCGGCTTAATATGATTCATTGTGAGGAAAATGGAATTTATGCGATAGAAAAAAAATCGAATGTTATTATTGCATAATTATGGAAAAGCGGTGGCTTCAAGCAGAATATGCGTGTTATTTTCAGCAATGTAATGACAACAGCGACAACAACAGCTTTATTTATTCAATCCATTTTGCGGCGCTTTTCACACCCTTCATACGGACTGACATTGTCGCGCGCGTTTGTGTTTGTGTACATTGCCAACGATCGCGTTGAAAGCTCTCAAGCTTTTTTAGTTATTGCAAGTTGTTGTTGTTGTTGTTGTTGTTGTTATTCAATGCGCGCCATTTTTGTTCACACTCAAAGAGACCGTATTATATTGTGCGTACGAAGTAAAATAAATGACTTTACATACGTGATACGGTTTCATGTACACGTTTAATTCGCTTCAACAAAAAAAAAAATGAAATATCAATATCGCTAACACTACTCAACAATTACTACAATGCCAACATCAGCCGAATAAACAAACAATGAAAAAACTAAACATCCAAGGAATTTTTTTGTTCGTATTTTTGCTTTCGTCTCGATTTTCTCTTATAAACTAAGCTGTATGACTCTTAAACTAGGCAATTCAATCTGAATATATTTTTTTGTCGCAATGAAAACTATCTAAAAGTGCTTTCTGAAGTGTTTTTCTATGCAATCACATGCGATAACACACCTTTCGATGATTCGAGACAAGTCATCGTGTTCGGTTGGTAATGCCACACTAAACACTACACTATTTCGTTTTTTGGTCATTTTTTTCATGGTACCGAAACGAATGGTCTATTTTGAATATCGGGGGCAGCAATTGATTTTATTTGTATGTCAAAAAAGGAACTATGTCAATGGTCGAATAAATCGTTTTTCTTCGAATTTTAAGTGACACATTATAGAAAGAACCGATATTCCCTCAATTTCTTTTGATAATTTAATATTCCTGTATTATTTTTGGTTCGTGTTCACTTTAATTTCATAATAAAATAATCGAGAGCTACAACCAATTAGAAAACACATTTATAATTGAATGTGTCGATCACTGTTGAAATATCCAGCTAAAACCATTTTCTCTTGATAAATTCTCTGGTTGAACATGGCGTGTGTTCTCGTTCTCTTGATGAAGTGTGTATGACACATAAAACAATTTGAATTTTTGAATTGACATTGACACTTATTAATTAGAAATTGGTGTAAAATACTTCACAAAAACAATAATGTCGATGACTTTGTTCGGGAGAAAAATTAAATTTGAACAAAAAAAGCAACTATTAAGCCGAATAAAATGGAAGAGAGAGAAAAAAATGAAATGCTGTTGTCGAAATAAAATCCTTTGTCGTACTACTGGTCAATTTGGAGTGAGAGTGTTTTTCAAGCGACAAGCTTTTCGAAAGTAATGCCCGTGAATACCAAGCAGTCGCGCAAATCGAACAAACTGAAATTCCGTCGTTTTTGCTTCGTTCTTCTTTTTCGTTTTATTTCAATGAATTGTACCACAAATAATATCGTGCCAGTGGCGAATATCATGAAGAAATTTGAATGGTATGTATTGAAGGGAACAAAAAAGAAAGCATTTATACACACACAGTATGAGAGAAAATCGAAAATCAGAAAAACGAAAAGTGGCATTAATTTTTCCTGTTGACGGTCAGTCAGCAATTGTACGCAAAGCATATTATGTGGTGTGTCCTGGTGCACATTTACGCCGCGCAACATATTATACCGTTGGAACAATTGTGGCGAAATGAAAAAGAAAAAAACACGATCGAAAAGAAAATAGCGCGGAGACCATGAAACCCATTTGACTTATTAGCATAAAAATCACTACCAATCTACATGCATGAGTAAAACAGCTACAACAACAACAAACACCTTTCCAATTTGTGTCGTCTATTTTATTTTATTTTTTTCTCCTTATTCTTCTTTTTCTTATTCTTTGCAAAACATATCATTCTATCGCATGCCGCTGCGGAACTCACAACACCACTAAACTGTCGACACCATGGATATTTCGTGGAAATTGAATAAAACTTAAGCGTTTAAGAAGGTTGCGTTTTATGGAATAACGATCATATTGAGAAAATGTATGTAAATATAAGAAATTTTCTTTTGCACAATCGCATACTGTATGGATTATGGATATAATATACAATTAATTTCGTTCAGATTTTACCAACTATTTTCAAAAAAATGTGCTCGCATGATCGAAAAATTGTTTAAATGCCACGCATACAACAGACGAGGACAACAGGAAAAAACAACTTTACATTTGTCTTTCTCGAAAAATTGACAATGTCTTCAAAGACCGCAATGTCATGGCAATGCAAATTGCCTTGAGTTGTAATTCCATATTGGATATGCATTTATTAAGATTTTGCACACATACATTTTCTCATAAGCCATCATACCGAAGAGACGACATGAGAATTTTGAGAAACTCTACAATATAATACATCATTTTCGTTATCAACATTAGTACACAACGTTATCAAAGACATCTTCATCGGATTTTGTGTTTTTCTCTTCATGCGGTTTTTTTCTGCTCTTGCCGTTTTCTTGGAATTGCTCTGGTATTTGACGGTGTCCGGCGGGTTCTCGCCAGCCAAAATGCGGTACGACTGATTTGATCGTTTGATTCTCGTGGAAAGCAATTGAGTGAAATAGAGCAGGAAAGAGAGTAAGAGAGAGAGAGAGAGAGAAAGCGTAGACGAGAAAGTATAGCAATTAAATTGTGACGGATAGAGGGTCGCATGTAAATCTTTTACTTTTTTCCCTTGCATAATTGCACGTTATAACTATTTATTCATTCATTCGATTTGATATGTATAATATTCTAATGGTGGGTTTTTCTTTCAACGTCCGTTTTTTTACAGTACACACATACACTTAAACATAATTACGATTTAAGCTATAAACAAAAATGCTCCGTCCTAGATTTTTCCGAATCTGTATGTAACTCCTGCTCAAAATCATGAATACGAGAAAACAGAAGAAGAAGAAATTGTTTTTTCCCGTATGTTTCCGTTTTGATTTTGACTGATTGTGTGTGTGCGTTTTGTACTGTATTCGATGGATATAAAAGTAATTTGATTTGGAGCTTTGTGTATAAATGAAAAATAATTTTTCAGCGCGCACCCCTATTAATTAGTCATATGATGTGTATGTGTTTGTGTGCATTTTTGCCGACCGCAAATAAAACCATTAAATTGTAATGTATTATGGTTTCGACATACATTTTAATTTCATCTTTTAAAATTCCACAGCGAATTCCAGAAATTCTTTAATTTTGTTATTTTTCACTTAGTATGATGTATGCTCGATAAAAGTTGTTCATTTGTTACCCAAGACATTATGCCATCAACTAATAATTGTTTCAGCTTTTTCTGGTCGATCCGAAAAATTTCCATTCAGGGTTAATTAAATGTTCATAAGCTTAAAGTCACAATTATCCTCATTTTCGTTCTCGTTTAACCTCATTTTTTCTCCTTCGCTTTTCGCTTTAATTTTCAAGAAAAAAATAGGTGCGGTGTAGTTCTTTGATGCAAAATTCTTACCATTTTAATATTATTAAATCAAGATAGTTGATGAATTTTCTGCTCCAATAGCAATTCAACAAAAGCCAGGGCGAGGCGCTGAATTACAACAATATGCAAGCGAAAATGGCACAAAAAAGAAGAGCAAAGTGAAAATACAAATTCTTTTTCATCCGCTTAACTGTGTTGTGCGCCCAACACAGGTTGTTGCTGTTTTTTTGTTTGCAAAAGAATGGATGAACGAATGCGAAATCACTTTATAATGAAATCCGAATAAACAAGCATTTATTTTACGTCGTTTGGATTTCATGAACTGTGGAATGTTTAGCTTCGGATCATGGGCAAAGTGCGAAAACTTTTGAACGATTATGCGTGAAAATATTCCCGAAATTAAAACCCAAAACTATCAGAACCCGACAAAAAAAACTTTTTGCATATGGACAAGAAATGAAAGTCACATGTCACCACATGTTTTAAAACTGACTATCGGGCATACGTAACTACATTGTTATATGTATATCCGTTCGTATGGTAATATATCCGAAAGAGTTGCTTTTCAAGACATTATATATTCACTGGTCCGATATTTACGACATTCTTGGTCATGTTCATGCCATGATCCCTCACCAATGGCTCTCACCAAACAAAAAAAACACACACCCAAAAAGTTTTTCCATCTCGAAACATTTCCGACAAAAAAACTTTTGAATATTCTATCATGCATCTGTAAATTACATGCAAAAGCTTGCCACTGGCAGCTACAACTAATAATTACGCCACTATTTTGTTCATGGATCAACAAAGTCATCGAAATCACTTGGTCCGACACAGTTTAGATGGCGAAAATAAAACACTTGAAAATAGTTATAAAATACAGTGGCAACATTACGAGGACAATTTTTTACGATTGACCATTTCGATTGGAAGAAAGTTAATAAAAATTTAGTAGCCGAACGAATGGCTGAATTCCACACATCGAAATGGTGCGCACGGGTATGACACAGAAAAAAACGAACAAACTTCTCATGTAATCTTGATGTAAAAATCTTAATATACAAAAAGACGAAAAATCATTTATAACCGTTAACTTGGACAGAAAAAATGAAAGGTAAATAATAACCAAAAAAAACGTGTAAATATGCCACAAAAATTAAAACTCTTTTTGCTTTCGTAATCGAGATTCGAATGTAAATAATGGCAATACGTAACGTGTGACACGAGACCAGACTCTTTCATTTGATTTTCGCGTTCTCTTAATTTTTCTCGTACGTCTTATGGATCATTTACGAGTATTAAGAGCTAATTTCACCACTATTTTCAAACAATTATTCTGTGCGGTGACAAAAGTGGTTGCAATCTCAGTTTCAATGGGTTTCTTTAACAAAAAAAACATGATGTTCACACCATTTGCGCCACTTTATGCCGTGTTTTCATGCACGAATAAAAAAAATGTGTAGCATTTACTTACGTTTCATTTTTGGCACCAATGGATGGACTCATGTGTGACGTGATACCGTTATCTTTTTCCAAATTGTCACCCAATCGATGTTCGCTTGACATGTCACCGGTTGCCGATTTATATTCTTGCATTTCTATAATATCATCGGATTTCATTAGCAACGCTTGGCTATCTATGCCACCGCCACCGCTAATTAATGTGTTGTCAATGATGTTTACTTTCGTTTCGATCGGCGTTCCGATGAGTTCACGCTCAATGCTTTCCGGTACGATGGGTGTACCAAGCATACTTGAGCCAGCTTCACTTTTCCCACCGAGTGTTCGTGTGCTGGACTTTTTCTCCAAAACAGCAGCAGGATTTTCCATTTTGGCGCTTCCATTTCCATTTGCATCTAATGCAATTTTATCACTTACTTGCTTCATTTCACTGACTGCAACCGATTTACCATTAGTGTCTCCATTTGCGCTGGCCGCGTCCGTAGTCATTGACATTGCATCACCCGTTGCTGCTGTAGCCATGTCTCCCGTTGTGGTGGTCGCCATTGTTTCACCTTTTTGATCCGAGCTTACATGACTGATACTTATGTTATTATTATTGTTATCGCTGTTTACATTTGAATTATCATTATTGACTATTTGGCCAGAACTATTTTTCTTACTGAGATGATCCGTAACGGCTGTCGTTATTTGAACGGGTTGCGATGTAACGGCCGCCGTGGTCATCGATATACCATTTGTTTTTGTTGTTAGCGGTTTTAATTTATCACTTAAATTGGCAGTGTCTATTTCATTCAGTCCATCTGATTCCGAGCTTGTGCGACGTTTTTGTTTAAAACTATTCTTTTTCTCGAGCCGCTTTGCCAGACTGGAATCGGATTGATTTTTTGCTAATGTTGACTGTGGCGGTCTCATATTCGATGCTAGTGGTGGTTTCGATGATGTGGATGCTGTTGCTGTTGCTGATGATCCGGTTAAGCCAATTGTTGAATTTTCACGTTTTAATTTCTGTTGGCTATTTTCACGTTTTAAATTGGATGGTTGTCGCTTCAATGTGGATGGTTCACGTTTTATTGTGGCCGGTGGAGCTTTTTTAACACTTGATTTTTCCCGATTGATGGCCGGCTCTTTTTTTGTGCTGGACGTTTCTTTGTGTACCGCATTGGAAACGGATTTTGTGTTGGTCGTTTTATCAATTTTGGCACCTTTTGACGGTGACGATGTTTTTTGATTAATTTTTTGTGGTATTTTTGTTGGCGATTTTTTCATTGGACTTGGTTCACGTGAATTTGTCTTTGAACTACTACGGCTACCATTCACATTTATGCTACTCGATCGTCGTCGAATGGGAATTTTTGTCGGTGAATCGATGCCACCACTATATATTCGATTCATGCCATCGTTCCCGCAATGGGATGAATCGTCTTCACAGTCTTTGTTTGGTGTGCCAACAATTGGCGATAGTGTGGTTGGTTTTGAAATTCGTTGTATCGATCGTGACGGTGTCAAGAATGATGATGACGGTGTCATGCCTAAATCAATCATTGATCCACCAAGTTCATTGCTTGGCCTTCGGCGTCTCGGCGATGATGAACTATCTCGTCGATTGTTCAAACGATCCGAACTACTTGATACTCGACTGTTTCGCCTCGTCATCGATATGCTACTGTTTCTTGATATATTTGGCGTTGACACGCTACTCTTTCGCCGTGGTATTCGTGATGGTTGAACTGTACCACCGCCACTTACAATACCCAATAAGCCTTTATGATAACTACGTGGATTTACAATCGGTTGAGTAAACATCAAATCATCGGCAGAACGTTGAATATGATGCCGTGGTGCTGGTGATGGTTTTGGGCCACGCAACGAACCACGTCTACTTGAATTACCCGATCGAATTTGGCCGCTTGATAACATTTCAAAACTTTCCATATCGCGATCGTTATAGCTCACATCACACATTTCATTTTCATCGGCTATTCTTGGCGCTTCGATCACACGAATTGCCGTTCGTTTACGTGGTATCGGTGGTATAATATTGAAATGTACACTCGGCTTACTGTGAATTTGTGAATCATCATGCGACGATGATATCGTATCCATTTCCATTGCATTTCGCGGTGATTCGGGACATGATGTTGGACGAGAAAATCGCTTACTCGACTCAACACGAAAACCTTTTCCACGAAACGGCGACACACGACCACCTGATGGACTTGCCGGTCGCGATTGATTCGGTTCCAATTCATTGATTATTGTAAATGACGTCTTTTTATGTAGTCGACTCGGCTGAAATCTAGAAAAGAGATTTTTTTTTTTTCAATTTAAATAAATTTTGCGATGAATTCAGTTAATCTTACCGAAATTCTGATCCCGTATTTATTGTATTTGTTATAATAGCCGGACTAACGTCACGTTTCGGCGGGCTTGCACTGCTTAAATAGTCTTCAGACGATGAATCGTTTGTATTCGGTCGTGTGCCAATCACTGTTGCTGGCCGACTGTGATTATCTGCATATGGAAGAACTTGAATTTGTTTGACACCGCCACGTATCGATGATTTGTTATCATCACTGCTTGGCGTTGACGATGATTCGGGTATAATGGCTGTCATTGCGCTGCCATGATCGATATGCATAACATTTCGGCTAGCCGGTCGTGGTTGAAATCCTTTCCAATTGGCGTCAACAAAATTCGGTCGTATCCAATCCGAACCATTTTGTGAATCGTTCGATTGCATTGTAATAATGTTTCGATAGTTGATTGGTTCTTCGGAAAAAAGTCGTTTTGGCGCGGTCGGGACCAAAATTTCACTTTCAGATCTAACGAAAATGGAAAAAGAAAAATGAGTAAAAAATATGATCAGCCGAAATGCAATTAGAAACACCCATACCCATATGGTTCCAAATTGGCACGAAATTCATCGGAATATGATGAGCTGGAACGTCGTTTGTTATTATTATCAAAACGAAATTCATCGCGAAACGTTGTTGAACTATCGCCACACGGTGCTGATCGATCTTTTTGTCGATGTTTGGCCGACATACGCAGTTTATGTCCGCTATTTTGTGCATGCATAAAATCATCGATGAACGCATCATTGTTTGGACGTTCATTACTGGGCAATGTTATGTTTGAACCACGCCGAAAACTGCCATACAAATGATTGTCTAACGTTTCGAGAAAATCGGTCGACGGTGGAACGGGATCACCAAATAAGCTCTGATTTTGATTGTCATAAAAATTGGCCGCCGATGATGCGGGTGACATGCTCGAGTAATAGTAATCGTATCGTGAACGTATTGTGGGCGAATGAGACGATCTCATTATTTTTTCTATGTGTTATTGTTGTTATTCGATATGCGAATGAGTTGAATTTTTTACGTGTTTTATTTGAACAAAGTCGCTGTTGCCCGATTCGGTAAATCGTTATTGCTTCGTATGCGGTCATTTAATCTGATCGGTTTCAGTCGAAACTGTTATGACATTCCAATATATGACGAGAAAAGAAAAACAAAATATTTGATTTTGTTTCTCTTATTTGGAAAAAAAATTACACCCGTCTCTCTCTCTCTCTCTCTCGCTTTTTTCTCGACTTCTCGCCTCTTTCTGTGTTCTTCGCGTATTTATATATATTATATTTTCAATCTTCTCCAGATCAACTCACAGTTTTATAGAGTCTGTTTGCAGAAAAGAGAAAGAGAAACAAAAACAATGCTTATTATTAATATTATTTTGTTCAGCACAAAAAAAATGGTATAAGATTTATCGCTTGGTTTGCATTTTGTCGTTTGGTTCATAATTACATCACATAGTACACATACAAATAAACTCATTTTGCTAAAAGTGCTTAATTAACGATTCAAATGCAATTTATACAAAACTGTAATGTACCCGGATTTATGTTTTGTAAAAAAAACGATTCGTGAGAGAATCAACTTGAAAAAAATATGCTTATTTTTAAAATGCAACTTTTCGGCGTATACATTTGTGGTAAATGCTTTTTGTTGTCGTGATCTGACAAATAAAATCCATTTGCAATGTAAAACGAACACTTAAAATAGACTTGAGATAAATCGAAATTCAAACCATTTAGCACACCACTTTGCTTGAAATATTGCCATTGGTATGTGCGACATTTCCATTTAAATTTGCTCGATTCAGTCGGCATATGAGACTTTATGCATAAATTTAATTTTCGTAGATTTTATCGTAATGTTCACTTTAAGTTCGAAATTCTTGAAGTCAAATTTGAAAATGGCAAATTATCGGTTGCAATATTTACACCTTCCCATGTCAATATTTGATTCACATCTCTCTCCCTCTCTCTCTCTCTCTCTCTCTCTCTCTCACTTACTTACTACCGTCTGTTGCATTTTTAATTGATTTTCCTTTAATGCACTCGTACGAATCGAATCGAATCGCATCATAAATTTCAATCGGATTCATTGAACTGCTTGCATTATAACAAAGTAATCTTTCAAATGGTTCAATGGCCATGCATTTTAAAATACAATGCATTTCGTTATTATGTTTGTATCTTATATTGCTGTGCCGTTCAACGCAACAGACACTATTTATGAATCGATTTCACAGCAAACTCACTGTTCATGCAAATTTGGAATAGAACATCAAAATGACGAAATAATACACGGTGCGCGTGGTTTGTTCTCAATCACCTTTCGTTCGAGTGTGTTGTTGTTGATGGTTATTTTTTTTGCGGAGCGCGCGCGCTCACATTTGTTGCGTGGTACGACAAAAGTGAAGAAAAAAAAATTTCAAGGTTTTTTTTTCGTATGTCGGAGGAACTTGGTCACTTTGAATTGATTGTGTGCAAACTGGCAATGAAAATGACTAATTTGACTAGATTTATTCTGAATTCCAACTGTTCTGTCACAACAACAAACAAGATAATACACATACACGCAAACGATTTACGATAGTTATCGATTCAAAAAAAATTGTTGGCTTCTTTACAATTCGATTGAATTTGTTCGTCTACTCTATTTGTTTGTTATTTTGCGACTGAAATGATGATGAGTGGAAAAAAAATGTGCGTAATCACGTTCCACAACCATACAAACAAGAAAATGAAGAAAAAAATCGCTGAAAAGTCGGAACACTAAACAAAATAGTTTCCGATGTGATAATGAAAATGTGAACTGTATGAAACACCGATTTCAACTGAAAAAAAGAAAACAATTTCGACTTGGCAGAAGCACACTTGAAGACGATTAAAGATTACGTCTATTACAATCTCCCCTGGCACCGTATTGTACTCTTTTTCTTTGCTTCACTTTTACTGGGACCAAACCCACACTTACTTACGCATTCCACTTATTTACACCACATTTTCAACGGAAACATGTGCAACAACACATATTAAAATATATTGCTCGATCATTATAAAAACATACTACGGGGAACAAACTCACACACGCACACAACAAATTCAAAAATCATTTGATTGAAAAAAAAAAATGCATAATAATAACGTATAATTATTACACATATTTTACGGTTAAATATTTTCGCTCTATCTCCCTTTCCTTCTGTAAGTCTATTCGTTTTGTTTGTTGTTCCCCTGTGCGTTGTCGACAATTTTTAGCGAGAAATCGAATCTTTAATCAACCAGACGCCGTTAATTTTCGTTTGTAAATGTACCGTATACTCTAAGCGCCACCGCGTGTTTCTTATGTGTTTGTTAACTTTGCATTTCGATTAAAATTGAAAACAAAGCTTGGCATGCAGAAAGCAAGCCATGTGAAACGCATGATTCATACGAACCCATCGAAGAATCACCACAAAATCGGATATGTTATTACCAAAATGAGCGAATTTGCTCAGATTTGCACGCGCGACTATGATTCACACTCACTCTCTCTTGGCAAACTAATTCATTGTGGGACTCTTGGAAGCGCGTGCGATTGGTTTGTATATTTATTGAAAATGAAACTCTTCTATTTTATTTATTTTTTTGAGTTGGTGTTTTAATCGACGACCATCACCTTAATAATACATATTCTTTGAGTATATGTAACTATGAGTCTGATTTTTCACTGGTCTTATGAATGATTTTTGCTTATTCACTTGAAAAAATTGCTTATGCGCTTCTGATTTGGTCGCGGTTCACTGCTCGTTTGTTGCTCGAAGAGAACCGAATTTTTCATCGCATTTTTTGCTACTCAGCGAATATGATTTCATTGACAAATAACCCACGCACATTATGATGTGTCATGTGTGTATGTATGTGCAAAAAAAATGGTGCCGCACTGTAGCTGAACAGTAGATGTGACTTACTGTTTGTGATATCATGTCAAAGTCTTAATTACTCTTTCTCTCGCGCATTGGTTTTGGCTTCTTCATCATTATGTGAAGTTTCAGTACAATTTTAAGACAATTAACGGTTAAAAATGACATATTACAAAATTGGATCATTTCTCGAGCAATCAAAATAAATTTCGAATGAAATGAAACAAAAATTGTTTCTTTTTTCTTTCGAAAATCAGCACATTCTCTTCAATAAATGCGCTGCATGGTTATAAATCGGAAAGATTCATCGATATACCGAATTGGCGAAATCAAGTGGAAAATCAAAGAGAGTAAAAAGCAAACATGAAATAAAAGGTGATTTTTGTTTCTTTGCCTTTCAAAAAAAAATCAATGCCATCATTAATCCATAGACTTTATTTTTCCGTCATTTTTTTTAAATACTTCCTTGATTTTGATTAGACCTAATGATTTGAATTTGATGACTCGATTTTGCAAGGAAAGGTTTTCAAAGGGAGAAAGAAAAGCCAAAAAAAATTACAATATTTACAAATATAATCGAATAATAACAATGAAATATGCGATATTTAAATCATTCAGTACCGATTCCTCATTAAATTCCCATATATTGGTAACCATCGAATTTGCGTATACCAACACAAGTAACTTAAGTAGGGCGATGTAAACACATGTCATGTAGAGGTACATAACGAACAACAAACAAACACACAGTGCCGGACAATGCAAATGGGGCTGGTTTTCTCTCGCTCTCTCTCTCTCTCTCTCTCTCACTACAATCCGCAAAAGTAAAGAAAAAAGAGAAGTGTGCACGAACAAAATACGGCCAAAGAAAATTAAGAAACACAACCATATCAAAGATTTGGAAAAGCGATTTCGGCGTAAACGTGTAGTAATACACACTTATATACGCAAAACGTACGGCCCCGTATACGAGGAATTAATAGGGATTTTTTTCTTCATTATATGATTCATGTAACTATTTCACGCGCGTACAAATACCATCATACACTTACACACACACATCAATTGGCTTTATTAAGGACACTTCGAATAAATTATCCCGATTGAAGGCCAAGCAATTTTTCGCAGTTGAGCGATTTAATTGTAGGCAACATAAAGAGAGCAAGAGAAAAAGAAGAAAAAAAATGCATGGATAGGCACAATGAAAGGAGTTTCGAATCTGGGACATTTTAATATGTTCCAAACCTGACACATTTCACGTTCTTGTGAATTTTTTCTATCGTCATATTTATATGAAATTTGCCTTTTTCCATCGTTTTATCATTCATTATGAGTACAATTCTAAGTATATACAATATGTATATTTCACTCCATTTTTGTGACAATTTTGCTTGCAATTTTGAATCAATTTAAGATCGCACATAAATTCGAGCTTGAGTAAAAATTCTTTTTCATTTTCATACATGTTGGATATGTTTTTAAACCAACGCATGATTATATTGACTTGAAATAGAATGAAACAACCGATAGAGGCTACCAAGCATAAAGCCTCATCACATCAAGATGATGAAATAAGTTCTGGTCATGGTACGATAATTCGGTATTGAATGTACACTTGTTTCATTTCTTTCAACTATAAAGAATTTTTTTTTTAAATAGCTAATTAAGATCGGCATTGAAGCCATGACAATGTTTGAATAAATGATGGAATGGCCTATGAAACAGGCAACAAAATATACATCGCGTAAATCGTACATGATTGATCACATAAACAAATCTATGATTTATCATTTGATTGAATGGCGCGATGAAAGAAGAATCAAACACAACATTACACAATAATTTGCAATTTTACGGTTGAAAATGTAAAAAAGAAAATGCACACCATCTCGACATAGATAAATAGAGTGAAAAATTATGCCAAATGGCATAGAGACCACTGAATCATGATTTTTATTACATGCTTTATATTTAAATGTGTGCTTTTCGATGCATGGTTGCGTCGAGATGACAGAAAAACAACACAATAGATTGTAAAGCCAGAATCAGCTCAATTCACTGTTTAATTATAGTTGATTTGTTTTTTGTTGTTGTTTTCTTACTTCGCTAATTGATGTGCTTTCTTTTTTAATCATGGCTATGAGTATGGTTTGGCGGCACTTTGTTTAGATGAAGAAAAAAAATGCAGATGAACTCATTAGACAAAAAATAAAACCCAATGAAATTGCCGCAAAATTGAAGTAGATGCAATTATTCCACTCGACAGTATGAATGTTGACAATTAATATTGAGTTTAACTTTAAATTGAGAACTTTTTTTTTCACTATTTCATTCAAAATGGCATTTATGCAGTTCGTTTTAAATGATCTGTACTTCATCACCAACAATAGTTTTTTTTTTTCGTTTCCATTTATTTGCTTCGTCTTCTTTGCATTTTTTTCTCTCTCTCTCTTTTTCATCTTTGTTGGTTCTTTTTTTCAACTCATTTTCGACTTTCTTCGCATTAGTTTTATTCGCTAATCTCGATTCGCTGGTTGTTTGACGGTAACGCATTCAACGTCAAGAATTTATGCAGCGGAGGTGGATTTATGCATATTATATAAAAATAAAATAACCAACGTTGTGCACATGATGATGTGTTAGCCATTGAATATAATTGGCACGCTCGAAATGACGTCTCAATGCATGCGCACTCTCTTTCCATAAGTTAACAATATGTATTCTTAACATTTGCCAATTCACCGATGGACATGCACCGTTATAAACAATTCTAATTTTAAATTGATTTCCGTTTACATTTTGCCATATTTTAAATCAGAAACTTAATGCCACTGTATTAAATGCGTCATTTTTCCATTCCGAGAACTCTCACGATCTTGCTCATGCTCTCTCTGTCTGTTTCACATTTAAATCGAAAACTATTTGTTTGCAAAATCGTGCTATCGGTCAAAAAAGCACATATTTATCTATTTTTTGCCATCGGCATTTCACTGGTTTGATCAAAAATAGCGATGCATCTTCGGCTATTTTCCATACAAGTCGATTTTTGAAAGTTTTTTTTTGTATAAATTTACTTAATTCTTCATTGAAGTGAAGTTACGCTTTTTTTAAATTTCCATTTCAAGACAAAAAAAAGACTATAAGTATATGAAAAGATCTAAATAACAGTTAGTCACTCCACTAAAAATAAATCTAACACTCACATACACAAATTGTTGTAAGCCAAGAATTGTTGGTTCGCTTGTTTATTTACTCTTTTTTCGGTTTCCGTAATTTGCGACCGTATAGAAATAATATGTTCGATAAGATGTCTTAGAACGAACACTGAAAATATGCATACCATAATATAAAGACATTGTTTTATGCGACGCGCGCGATTACATTGTTTTACACATTCACTTTAAAGCTCATTTCTGGATTCCATTTGATTATTTTATTTTATTTCATAGATATATACTTTTCATTTCATTTTTTTTTACTTTCTTCAAAAGACATGAGTTTGTGATATCGCACGCTGATTGTTTGTCTCTGTTTTTTGTATGTTTTGTTGTAGCTGTCGTTTTGTTAGTTTTTTCTTCTTATTTATGCTTGTGAACTTTGGTCTGTCGGTCAGAAATGGGTGAATCATTTAGCACACTCAACTCTCAATCCAATAGCACATGCACATTGCACATTCTTCCTCATTTTTTTGTCTCCCTTTTTCTCTTTCTGTCGTTGCCGTTGTTGTTGTTGTTGTGGTCGTCGTCGTCATTGTTGTCGCTGCATAATAGTCAGCAACGAGCGATAGGTTTTTCATGGAGTGAATGTGCATGACACGAAAATGCAGAATTTTCGCGGCGGAATGTTATCACATGGCGACAGATGACACGAAACATTCTTGATTTTTCACTGCACGTTCAAACAAAATAGATATGTATATATTACATCGAATGTAAATTTGTGTATGTGTGTATTCGATGCATCCAATACAAAACTTTTGTACTTAATAACTATATATGTTTGAGGGTTTTTTAAAAAACTTATTTGTTCATTGAAATGTGTATAGCAAAGGATTTTGTCAACGAAACCAAAACAGTCTTTGAAAAGAAATTTAATTTGTTGTTTTTTTCTATTTGAATTTCTATGATAAAAAAAAAAAACAAAATGAAGAATAAAACTAGGTAGTCCGAGCCGCCCGAACGCAATGTACGATTGTAGGTAAACTAAAAGCCGTGTATGTTTCACAAGAGAGTGAGAGAAGATTCAGAGCGCGATACAGAACAAGAAACAACTAAAGCAACGTAACGATTTATACTGAAACGCTGGAATCGAGAATGCAGCGGCTGAAGTTCTTCAGGCGTAAACCTGTTGTATAACCCATTTTGTTGTATATTTGACGGCACTTTTTTCTTTCCTTCTTCTATGAATTCTTATTTCTTCATTTCGTTCGTTCCCTCTTTGTTCTTTGCCATTTCAATTGTTTCATAGTGCTGAATTTTCCGTTGGAATTGGCCAGCTTGAAGAGTGGTTCGCGGTCTCGCTTGCACTCATTCTCTTTACATCAGACGTAACTACTTATACACTCGTGGGTCTTGGCGTATCTCTCTCTCTCTCTCTCTCTTGGTGTGTGTGTGAGTTCGTGTGCGTTTAAAGGGAAGTTAAACGGGTTGCTGTTGGCTGCTTATATGTGTGTTATGTGGAGTTTAACTTTTGACCATGGTGGTGATTCAATGCAAAAGTACAAGAAAGTAAATACAACAACAACAAAACACCAAATCCGCGAAGTGTACGGCACCGACCGATTTTCAACTGAATATTATTCAGATTGCCTTGTAGTGGTCATGATTTCGGATCGCATTCACATTGTAACCGTATATACTGTATACACTTTATTCATTTTTATTCGATCGCTTCGCTCGCTCACTCCCGTTTATTTCAACGTCAAATCGAAAATGTGTTTGTTCTTTCAAGCAATTTTCTTTTCGACGCTTAATTTGCATTTACATGCCGCTCACTTTGAGTTTGCCTTTAATAACAATTTTCTTATCCTTATGCAGGTATATATACACGACATATTTACGTGTGTATGTAGATGTTGACTTCAGATGGCAAGGCAAAAGGAAAAGCGCACACGATACGAATTTTCTAACGTATTTTAATGGTCATGTATAAACATTTTACTTTTGGCTAAGCAACGCTCTGTACAAACGGGGAGAGGAAAAGAGAGAGAGGGGGAGAGAGAGAGCAAGTGAAATAGTCCAAAATCACCGTTGTCCAGCTTTAATTCTCTCTCTCTCCCTTTCACCCAGAGAATGTATACATAGTCGTAACGGAATACATTACCATTTGGAAGACTTCAACGTTGACCATTATCAGCACCAATGGCTGTAACTATGCCACTGTTAATCATGATTTCTTTTTCGTCTTTTTCTTGTCGGCGTTCTTTGTTTTCGCCTCTAATATTTTCGTTTCCTTAATTTACCGAATTCAGAGAAGTTGAACACGATGAATGGATAGCAAAGTTTATTGCAGGCGAAATGTGGTCGGTATTAAAAGATTTTGTGCAAAATGAATGCAACATCAAATATGTTATTACAATATTAATTGAATTCACAAGAATCACCCATGTTTTGATTTGATTTTTTAAAAAAATTGTTTTAATTTATCAATGGAAACCTTTAAAACCTAAGAAGTGACCAGATCAAGCGATTTCAACGATCGTTCCACACACAGACACAATTTGAACTCCGATAACCAAAATCTATAATTTTGTTTGATAATTTCATAAAGCGGCCAAACCGGATACGGCGACAATTATTATAAAATTATGCCCAATCAATACCATCATCTAATTTCAATTCCGCATATATTAGCTTTCGTATCGTTTCAATATGCACAGCACACGTATATATTCACAATGTTCCATATATATATGGTTTTTTTTTTAACTCAATTGTAGAATTGGAATATTCTTCATTGTTGAATTCAAAAACGCAAAACGAACGAACGCGATATGAACAAACTAACACGAAAAAAAGGGATCTATTAATTTTATATTATCCATTTCTTTTTCCATTTCCTATCGGACCGATTTTATGACTATTTAGCGTGCGTTTATGTGGCCACTGGTTACCTATACAACTTGTTTGTATTTATTTAACTTGAATTCACATATTCGCCCGTGCAAAAGATTCAAGTCCCGCGTCAAAAGTTGATGGGACCACGTATTATGTGAACCAGTTAATGGAGAGAGGAGAACGTTCGTTTTGAATGTTCAAGATATTTCAAGTAGTTGCATTGCTATTATATTAAGTAAATCATTTGATAGGCAATATAGAATGAGCGAAGAGAAGACAATATAAAGTGAGTATGCATAACGCGAATTTGTTTTCATTGAGTTGAATTTAACAATGCACGGAATCTCTTAACATTTCAAGCCATTGCCTGCAAAATTTGAAAACGCACACAAAAAAAACGTGTTTTCTATGCGATCGCATTTATCGACGCTTGGAAAAGATTTATCGTATATGGCATGGTGCACATCGAGCACACATGAAATTCAAAGAAGATTGACTTGATGTATGTGGAGAGTGTGAGGTACATATGCAAATTAATGAGAATAAGATCGCAACATGAATAATTGAACATAAACAATAAGAGTTGCAATTTAGAGAAGATGATTCCAATGAACGCAAAGTGAACATTTCAAAGTCATTAGATTTGGATTTTATCGATTAATTAAGGATACTGAGAGCCATTTTAAATTCCAAGGCGATCGACCACAAACGATTTAATCTGATATCCTCGTTATATGCACCAAAGGCATTTGGTTTGAATTTAAACTTTGAAGAAATTGGATTTTTATCAGTAAGGCCAACTTTTACGCGAACACTGCCTTTTTTTAACATTGATTTAATTACATACAATGTACAGCTATGATATTTATGAGATAATGAAACTTTATATTGACTTTGAAGTGGTTTGCAGATGACTTAAATCTGCTTTCATTCTCATATATAAATAGCAGTGAATGTGAGATAAATTTTCAAATTAAGTTCGAAAGACTCATCGGATGATGGAAAAGTGCTCATGAAATCTCTTGCGCTAATTGCAAATTTTATCGATTGTTTTATTGATTAATTCAAGATTAGTCGGGTAAAACAAGTCCTCGACAGCAGCACACTTTCTCCGAATGGTTTTCACTTATGAAATCGCTATTCTAACGACAATCACAATAGAATAGCCATTGTATGTAGTACTACATAGACAGTGCCAATCACAAATGAAGATATATTGAATGGAATGTTATTGCGCTGAGATTCCATCACCCATTACACTGGCATGGGTGTGTGTGCATGTTGATTTGGCGAATTTGCAATTAATTGCAAAAATAAAAGACTCCATACCGTTGTGTGTACGCCTGTTTTTCTTTGTCCAGGCACATCGTTCTGTTGTACAGTGGAATGCAAACGCCAAGATTCAATTTTTGGAGTCGAAGCATTTTGCTTTGCAGCAACAATATAGTGCCGTAGTGTACATATCTCTTTTTTTATGGTAAAAACTGAAGTTGGATGGCATTTTCAATGGAAAATCCTCAACCTTCGTTCTTCAGACAATGTGATTTCTTTTCGGCTTTTGCACAACCATTTACATTCTTTCGGCCTAGCTATATAGGCAACAACAAAAGCACACACACAGCCAAAGAGAATATGGTTTATACACAAGACAAACATACATCGAATAACAATGAACTGTGCATAAAAAAAAGGAAACATGTATTACGTATATATAGTGCGCTTGGGGGTAGTGAATAAAGCGGTGCTCGAATATAATGCGACCATTTTTTTCTTCTTCACAATTTTACTCAATCATTCTCTTGCTGTGTATGAGTGTATATGAACTGCATATTTCGATCGAATTTATCGAATAGGTCAGTGTACAGTATTTTGCAATAGACAAAAAAATGGAGAAAACAACCATTTCATCGCACCATTATTATGTAAACTAATAATTTGTTGTTGTTTTGTTTCTCTTGTGGAATTCTGACTGCTGTTGCTGTTTTATTGCCCCGATGCCATGGCTATTGGAGCACTTTGATTCAATGATTGTTATGCTCATATCATAATTGTTGTCCATTGTATGTGAGTGTGTTAACCTCACTTCATTGTTCTAAGCTGTGAGATCGGTCAGAAACATCGACCAGATTGGGAAAAATCACCGTGCAAAAGGTTCATTGTTTTTGAGGCGGTGACGATGATGGTGGCGGTGTCAGCGACGGCGATGGCATTCGAAATGGACTAGGGACAAAAAGTGTAAGCGGCTAGCGATATTTAGCCTACACATACAGCCAACTATATATATATGCAAAATATTAACGTAATGTGCATGCACTGCAACAAAGTACACAAATTGCTTCAACATATGACTTCATGCATCTGGTGCAAACGACGAAATTGAAACGAAGGAGGGAGGGAGAGAGGGAGAGAGGGAGAGAGGGAGAGAGAGAAAAATCAGAAACTTAAAACTGTTCATTTCGTGTGACGTTGCACATTGAAATATATTCAAAACACACTTGATTAATTCGTTGTAAACACATCACAGCTAGCAACAAATAAAAACGAATCAAAAACCGAACGAAAAGCCAACAAATTGAAAACTAGCGCAATAAGCATTTGACAATTCCAGTTGAGGACTTTCACGCACTTTCGCAAAACAGAAACAGTTTTTCTTTTCTTACTTTTTTCTCTCTACTCCACCCTCTCCTCCTACTTCGGTCAATGCAAATTTCCACACATTTGGATGTTGGCCGTTGATACAATCAACTCCACTTTGTTGCTATATAGCATATAGTGTGTATTTTAAAGTAGAACTCTTCCGCCAATTTATGTATGCACACCAAACTTTTTAAAACTTGACTTCGTCGAATGAGAAATCTGAAGTGTGCTTGTACAATTGTGTGAGCACATTTTTCCCCTTTTTTCCTCTTTTGAATTTCACACTCTCTTCTTCGTTTCTGATATTATTTTTGCTATGCACAGTTGAATATTGTTTAATTTTTGATTATTATATGGAAAAACAAGAAAATTCCGCACAAAGTTCAACAACTAAAAATAATCATCGAACACAGTTTTTGCCTCAATATGAAATGTATGTGTATGAAACATTGTGACTCCAAAGGTAAAGTGGCAAACGCTTTTATTTGTATAACTTGGGTTTCAAATAACTTTATGCAAGCGTGAAAAAGAGAGAGAGAGAGAGAGAGAGAGAGAGAGAGAGAGAGAGAGAGAGAGTGTGTGAAAGAGCATGACGGGAAAAAAGTCTCAACGATGCGTGCTACTTAAACTTTTAAATAATTTGATAAAGTTGACAAAAGTCACCCCGAACCGCCTTGTAAAACAAATAATGTTTCTTTCTTCTATACCTTGTTTCGCTTTCATACTTATTTTCTTGCGTTCACATACATTTGTTGAAAAGTGCAATTTTATTTTATCAAGTCAAAAATCAACTTTATTTCGAGATCATTTTCTGTTTCACAAATCAACAGTTTTGTAATGTATTCAACTGCTATTGCTGTTGACATTAAATCTGCTCTAAATTAAGCGTGGATACTTTTGAAGTGAATTGTTCGCTTCTATTATCATTTCCGTTATGATTTTCATTGTGGGTTATTTTTGGAAATTATGACGAGCATAGGTAAAAAAAAGCCACAAACCAATTGACACAGATTTTTGTTTGCTGTTAATGAAAAAACGTGGTGTTTTTGCGCGCGTCATGAATGACTGTTGCTTATCCATCTAAATTTCTTGATTCAACAGAGATTCGTCGTATGTCCTCATTCCTAACCACTAAATTTTCATGTACAAATACAATGGTCATTTAAAAAAACTTTTACGCACGTGAAAATCAAACCACCGAAGTCATTTCGCTTTTGAATTAATGTTTTTTCCCCTCGCCATTTACGCCACGAACTCAAGCTTCAAATGACATAGAGAAACATTGTTTTCATTGAATCAAGTCTGTGACCCTTTTTACTTTTGTCCATTCCGAAATTGTAATATTACATTTTGGGAATGTTAACGTGCGATTTTCTCCGTTTACTTCTTTCATCTTTCCAATTAATTCCATTCACAAAGGGAAATACGAAGTGTCCGATGTGAATTTGTGTGTGTGTGCGTGTATTGCGGGTTGAAAATTGGGGTCAAGGCAACGAACCGAATAAATACCAACATCGGAATGTACAAAATGAATAAATCCGAAGAAAAAAATAAGAATGAATAAAAAAAAACTAGAAAAGGTGAGTGTGTACGTCTGAAAAAAAAGTCACCCAATTACGACCATAGTGAGTGCGTGTATTATGGTATTGGTAAAATGTTCCACATAATATTTCGCTCCAATTAACATCCTAGTACCTTAATATGGCAACACACACAACAATTATTATTACTGGTCGATTCAGTCAGTCTCGACCACTCGAAATTACTACGATCGACTATTACCCCGGGTTTTCCTTCAGAACACACCACTGACTCAATTTTTTTTTAACTATAATTTTTTTCACACTCGCAATAACGACCGATTAACGGCAACCCGTTGCAATTTATCGGTTAGGTGTGGATGTGGTCATTGTTTTTTTTTTAGTATTTTCTCGCCATGTTTCGAATACAATTTTCTTACTCTCTTTCGTGTATATAGGATACTTTCGTAGGATTTGATTTCAATTTAAAAGTTTTTGAGGTCACGACGAAAAGAAAAAACGCAGAAAATAACGAAATATTGTAATTAGTTTGTACAAGAAAATGAAATGATCGAATGAGTCTACTATATTAAAATGGTAAGATATCTCCTTTTTTTCTTCAAATTATGGCTTATACATTCCGAGAATGAAATAGGCAAAAAGGTATTCGGAGCCCGTGTACAAAAAAAGTGACTGACTATTTTGGGACAAACTGACTGACTGTTGACTGTAAAAACAAGCAACCTTAGTTCAATTTATTTAACTTCAATCAATTAAAGTAAGCTATGGTTAACTGCAACTGCTAACTATAGTTGACAATAATCATAGTCACCCGAAACGTCCCAAAATAATCGCCTGACTGACTGAGTAACTATAGTCGATTGTTTTCCATACAAAATTTTAAAATTCATGAATATAGCTAACTATAGTCACTTACAGTCAATAGTAACTTAGTCACTATTTTTCCACTCGGGAGTGATTTAGCTTTAATTGAATTTCACTGAAAAATCATTATCGTATGAATCATCAAAAGCATGTTATAATGTGCATGGGCTTGGCAATTCGCGGCACGATACACCATTTTTTATAAACAACATCTATTTTGCATTCTTATCAGCTTAAGTGATTTGGACATCTTCTTCACAACTGAATCACATGCTGCTTCCTTCATACACAAATTTGTTACACTCCTGCCTTTAAATGACGCTGTGAATGTTCGAGGTCCAAAGTTTGGATAATCAATTTGTTCAGCATTTGTTCAGAAATAAGTCACATTCGCATTCTCCAACATTGTTGTTTTGGAAAATCGTCAGGAATCGGTTGGGTTTCTTCAAATTTAAATGAGAGTTCGTACCAAAAATGAACAACCACCGCATTCTAGTGAATGAATTACAATAGGAAATGAATAAATAGTGCTTTTAGTTAACGAATTTAGCTTTTGAAAGCCCATTACAACTTGAAATGAAATTATTCCAACTTAATATATTTCCGAGTAAATATCACAAACATAACGCCTCTTAATCATACACCTTTAAATTAAAATTACGTTAAATCAACGAATATTGTTGTGTGCTGTTTTTTGGCAACGTTGGCAAAAACTTTCAATTAAATGTGTATCAATGTTTGAACATTGAGTGGTCAGATGGCGCCGTATGTCTGCCAACATAATGATATTTTTTTGTGTGTGTATGTGTGAGTGTGTTTAGATGTTGTGTAAGAAAGTGACAGCCGCGTAGCTTGTCAGTCAATTAACTCAAGTGTTGGGGAAAAAAGCAAATAACAAAATAGCAAAAAAAAAAAACACGCCACCGAAAACATCGAATTTATAAAAAAAGTGCAATAAATGATTTGTGACAAAACGTGAATATTCCCATGCACATTTTAATGCAAAAATTGAAAATCCAATTGATTCTAGTGCATTCATTTGTTTGTTCGCATGGAATTTCTGATGAAGAAAAAAAGAAATAACTCTCAAACATGAAAGTATTTGATTGCAAGGCGAACGAACGAAAAAGTGAATGTAACAAAAGAAATAGTTGTATCAACGATTGGCAAAATTAAATGCGATCAAAAAGACAATCGAAACGACGTTGAAAGACGATGAAAAAATCATTCGTACGACTTTATGTAGGCAAATATGTTGGAATTTTTTGTTTTCATTTAACGCAAATTTGAGTGTTGTTACGGCTGAAGGTGAACACAAAAAGGCAATTAGAAGAAGAAGAAGAAGAAGAAGAAGAAGATAAAACGATCAAAGTGAAACGATAAAATAATATCAGCATAGATAGAGAAGGAAACACTGAGAGATTGAGCGAACGCAGTGCGTTTTGCTTGCCGTATAATCTCTTGCTCTCATTTGGTATTTATTAGTGGCGCGTGTGCTGGTATTTTAAATACGTGTATTGGACAAAATGCTTTTTAAATCGCACATCAACTCAGCGAATGTGCTGCTGTTTTTAGTAATTCTAATCAATTCGATTGGTTTACAAAATGCAACACACCTAACGGGCACATTTCGTACAAGTGAATTTTTCAAATTGTTGGCCAAATTCGGATTTCAAAAGACTGAACGCCATTCGCAACGGGAATCATATGGTTATATTTATGGTAATATAACATCGAAGGAACAATTTCCCGTACAAATTACATTTGCCGTACTCGATAAATATCCTTTTTTACCATTGTATCACAAACGAACATTGATCAATCTTGATGATGCGTGTCGACAAATGTTTTCAACAATCGATCAATTAGCATACGATAAAAAGTGTCATCCAAATAATAAATATGATTATTTACGGCGAGTGCCGTGCAAATCAAATGAATTATGCGATGATGAAGATAGGCCGATGCTTGTGATACCCGGTCATCAATTCACGTTTGCAGTTAGTAACATGAAAGAACCAAGGTAAAAGATATTCACTCTTCGTATTTACATTCATAAAACATATATGTAAAATCTTTTTTGACGCAACAAAAAAAATGGAGTGCAACGATAAATGTGCATAGAGTGCTAGTTTCTCAAAAAAAAAAGTAGAAACAAAAAGAGAAAATATTTTCGTTTCAATCGCAAATTAAAAAAAAAACAGACGTTGAGCGTGTGCATTGGACAAATATTCAAAACACTATTTTACCGAGTGAATATTGTAATGTCAATGTCACATGTGTTTTCATTTTGATTTCGATTTCAATTGTGTATAAATGGAATGTGTTCAGAATACACTGGCACAAAACAATTTTTATGACAAGCTAAACAAAATGTCAATATTAAATTCTGATGAATTGGCATATGTTTCAAATGTATTGTTTTACTTTTGAACATTTAACATTCGGCTTGATGTTTTCATTACATATTGTTTTTGTGTTCTTTTTTTTCCCTTCAATTTTAGATTCTGGTATATTTCGCTGATTGCATGCTATCGCGAACCAACAAACTGTACCTGGAAGCATTTTAATGCAACAAAATATCGACTTGAATCCAAATCAAATAGTAAAAATCATCATTTTATAAATAGCGATGACTATGAACTCAACTATGACATTCATTTGGTTAATGGAAATCCAAATCAATCATCGACCAATCCGTTAACATTTCAATTTTCATTCGATCAACAAAACATACTCGAAATGAATTTGATCTTTTTAACAGTCTACTTGATATTAGTGCCCATACAAATTTATGCTGTACGAATTCAAAAACATCCCGTCACCAAACTATTTACGGTCAGTTTAATACTTGAATTTGTTAGCTTGGTATTTATGCTAAGCTATTATATTCGGTACACAATCAGTGGCATCGGAAATGATACCGTCAAAACGACCGGTGATATTTTGGACATTTTAAGTCGGGTAAGAAAATGATTCAAACATTTCATAACACTGGAGCTTATCTCTTATCAAATTGTTTTATTTTAGACAACATTTATGTTGATATTGTTGTTATTAGCCAAAGGATGGGCTGTAACACGACAACAGGTCACAAAATCCGGTTGGATATTACTTATGTCAATTTGGATACCATATTGTGTTTTTCATCTTGTACTGTACGTTTGGAATAGAGTAAGTTGACGGAACCACATCCTGAATTTATTTTCCATAAAATTCAATAAAACATATACTTGAATGCATCTTTTCTCATATTTAGACGGAAGTTGACATTGTATCTGACATTGATGAGTATCAAACATGGCCCGGTTGGTTGCTTCTTGTATCCAGGTATGTTGATGTCATGATATTTACCGTTCAACCGTGAACTAAATTCCTAACAAATTCATTAAATTAATTAGATCGTGCATTATGCTGTGGTTCCTTTGGGAATTGAGAAATACAATGAAATACGAGCATTCAACAAGAAAATTAGACTTTTTACTCCATTTCGGTGCATCAAGTTTGGTTTGGATCATTTATTTGCCAATTGTCGCAATAGTTGCATCACAAGTCAATCCCATGTGGCGATATAAATTGTTATTAGGTACGAAATACAATCCAACAATCTCAATTAATGACATCACACATTTATAAATAGAATATACTCTAATGCAAACGAAATAAAAATCTATATATTTTTAAGGTATTACGAATTCGGCTGATTGTTTGGGCTATTGCGTGATGACCGGACTGTTGTGGCCAAATCGTGCGGGCCAATATTTATTGTTGGCAAGTACGAAGTATTCAGGTGAGTAAAATTTGGCGATAAAAATCGATTAATATGACTTTTAACATTTGCTTATCTTCATTCGATAACAGGTATGGATGAATTAGCTATTATGGATGAGGCGCCACATTCGTTGCGCAGTGAATCGAGTAGTTTTCATGAAATGCCACACGATGATATGGAACACATCGATTTGGACGATGATGACGATGACGATGATGATCAAAATCAAATAATTAATATTTTGGATCGAACGAAACGAGGCCAAATAAGTGCGACTGATTTGTTATCAGACACAACAACCATTATTCAGGGTGATAATCTAATGTTTGATGATTCAATGCATTCAATATTCAACAATTCCAATGGAAACTTAATGAAACAGCATCAACATCAGCAGCAACAGCAATCGCATGAAATAAGTGATCATACGATATTAGACACTAGTAACAACATCAACAGCAGTAATGCTAGTGATTTTAGTAAAAGTGATAAAGTGACAAACAATTCGAATGGTGCAATCGGTGATGTATTAATTTTAACAAATAAATCGAAGCAAACATTCGGTAGTAATAGTCATAATGCGTGATTTAAATTAATCTGTAAATGTATGTATGCGTCGTGAGCATAGATTTCTATTTCATTTGTTTGATTTTTGTTATTTTTATTATTATTATTTTTACACACAAATATTTTATCATGTAAGAATGGAAATGTGAAGAGCTTTGTAAGCCAAAATACAAAATGAAATGAAACAAAAACACAGTAACAATTAGCTTTTAACATTAGCATTTGTTCTGTTAGCAAAACAAAATAGATATATGCGCATTTATTTTGCATATAAATATTCAATAGTTTGTAGATTTATATTTTTTTCTCTCCCAATTTTCTATCGCAAAATGCTTCAATATTTTTCGTAAACATAAAAACCACAAACAATTTTTAAAAAAATACAAAAAGTATTAAAACCGAGATAAATACAATAGTGCAGCTTATTATGGAAAATGATAAAAAATAGCAAAAAATTAAAAAAATACATATATATTGAATATATATTTACTGCAATACTCGTTAGCAAAATGTTTATATTTATGTACTCCAAAAATATTAAAGTGTAGAAAACACTATCGATATAATAATACTATACTAAGAGTTACTATTTGTACACATTTCGATTGTGCGGCGACAACATTTGGATTCTACAAGAGATACAAAAAGTCACATTGTTTAAAAAAATTGTTGTCGCCACACAATCGAAATGTAACTATTGACAGGCACTGTCAATATAATATTACTACAGCGATGGTGTTTTCTACTCTCTAATAAAATACACACTGAAGAAGAGCAATGATGCACATCAGTAGCAAAATCAAGAAGAATATAAAAAGATAGAGAGAAAGCTTTATTGAATGGTCAAATGCATGCCTTACTTAATTTTAATTGTAAAATCATATATTGCAAAGGTGCTGTGTATTTTTATGTCCGATGTTCTGTTCAACAAGAACATCACACACAGACACAATTTATGATTAATTAAAAGCATTCAAAATAACAAAAGGATAACGCGCTCTTTCTCTGAGAGAAAATGAAGAAGAAAATTAACAACGTTTATAGCTAGTGTCAAAATGCCAAAATCGTAGTCGATGAGATTTTTATTATTAGACTTTTACTATGTTTTACTACAATTCTCACGCAATTTCTTCTTTCTTCTCTGCCACAGTAACGTAAATTCAATCAAAAACCACATTAGCTATACACTTATTTTTATCGCACTTAAAAAATTGAGTTCTACAAAATAAATTTCCAACGACATTTTAACAACTCCATTCTCTTGCATACTTTTTTATGTTCGAGCAAATTTGCAATTAATTCGCCATCTGAAAAAGGAAATAAAATGCTCCCATTCCATTTTAATGGCTTGATTTTCATATAAAATTTCTTCATCAAATACTGATACAGACTGCCAGATTGTTTGTGTTTTTATTTTGTAAATAAAACGGAGTTATTTTTAAGAAATCAAACCAAAAACTGTGCCATAACAATAGAACGAGAAAAAAGCGAGCGAAAAGAAACATTAGCTTAACCAATTCACTCATACCGGTTAGCCATAGCATAGAAATGGGCATTTTTCTTTTTTTTTCGGGAAGGAAATTCATTCAAAGGTTTAAATTAACGAACTTTGAATATTTCAATTGAAAAAAGTTTCTATTTGAATTTTAAACAAATGACGACTCAAACGAAAATCAAAGTGAGTGCATGTAAATATTGTATTTTTCTTCAGAATGAAAAAAAGAAAATATTGCTCAATTTGAATAAAATGAGAAAAAAAAAGAATTTTATCGAAGCATAAATAAAAATTTAAAAAAATAGCAGGAAAAACAAAACAACAAAAACAATAGGTCTTATGATTGCGTGAAATTCCTATACAAAGCGTAGATTTAAAAATGAAGCGTCCCTTTTTTTCGTTTGTAGATGAAAAGTCGAATAAAAAAATAAATAAGTTAAAATCAACAGAAATCAATTATTTTGTGATTGTGCACCGGAAACAAGACGAAAGTGACACTTTGCTGAGTTGTTTTTTGTAGTCCAATATTATGTATATGTGTTATCGTATTTCGTACACCATTTCTTTTAGTGAGAGTGAACAAAGTATTGAATAAATGAAATAAAAAATTCACTGGTCCCACAATGCTATTTTGTCTCAAACAATGATAGTTTTATGGAAATTCAATTGGCAAAAATGTGTGGTGTGATTTCATTGTTACACATTCGTGAATATTTTACATGTCGTTTTAATAAATCAAATAAAAACTAAAGACTTATAAAAATTAAGTATAAACAATTTTTGTTTCTTTGTTTTTAGTTCAATGCCATTTATTTAGATTAATTTCCACATTTTTTTTGATCATATCAAAAAGATGCTCAATGAAAAAGGTAAAGAAAATATCAAACTATTTTTTTAACAAAAAGGTCAACTCTTCAATTATTCGGTGGAATTTCGACGCAAGTTTCCGTGCCAGGATATTCGATTAAATTCAACTCGTATTTCTGCTGAAGTGGTGGAGGTACGAAACGGCCGCCCAAATAATGAAATTTGCCACGAAAATGTTTGGCACACAATTTTGGTGCGGTTAAAGATATTAGCAGTTCTGGTCTTATCGGTTGAACGACATTTCCCGATTGGTTATCTTCAAACGGCTGTGGTCCATTCTCTACGTGCCAGCCACTCGGAATGTCAATACTGCAACAAATTCAAAAATTAATCAATTTTTTTTTAAAGAATTCAGTTCTTTTCCTTTTAAAATTAAATTGCAGAAAGAAAAAAAAAAATTTCTTCAAATTTCAAAAAAGAAAACTTACACACCTAACAATTGGAACGGTGGCTTTTTCAAGCGTTCGAATGATGGGCAAAAAATTTTCACGGACCGGTGGCCGAAAGCTAAATCCAAACAATGCATCAATAATGAGTGAATAATCATTATCGTTCGATGGGCATGTATCGATAAAATTAATTGCTTCACCAAATGAGCTACACTGTTCGACTAAATTGCGATAAAGTTCTTTATCGGTTCGTTTTGGATAGTAAATTGTGCATTGATAACCCAAAATAGCCAAATGTCGAGCGCACACCAATCCATCGCCTCCATTATTGCCCGGGCCACAACAAATGAGAATACGTTTTTTAATGTCATTTTGTCGATAACACTTGGCAACGGCATGCGAACAACTCAATCCAGCCAATTCCATCAGCTGATCAACACTATATTTGTATTGATTGAACAACTCCAAATCGATATTTGTTGCTTCTTCTTGATTTAAATATTTCATTTTGTTGATATTTGTGGTAGACAAAAATCGTGACGACCGTCGAACAATATTCGTATGACTGATTGATCTGAAATAAATACAAAAGAAAACAACAAACATAATATCATTCATTATCGGTTTATCTTTGGTTGAACTTACGATTTGATTAATGAAGTAGAAAATTTCAATAAATTCATTCGAACAAATCGTTATCACATTTACACCGCAAATTTTTGATATTCACAAGAGATTTAATCGGCAAAAACCACAATGAAATCAACTATTTGAAAATATATTTTGTTTTGACAGTACAGCGACTATGATTGGGGACTGTTCAATTCATGTATACGTACGGTGTATTGAGGTTTGAACGCTAGCTTAGCAAAGACACAAACCTTATGATAGAAAGTTATTTTGATTGTTCATTTTAGTATTCATAATATAACAAAAGAATTTTTAGAGAAATTTGTTTGAAAGTCGAGAATTAAGCAATAAATTTTTATGTCACGTTTTATATTAGCATTAAATTCAAAAATCGATCAAATCTTGCATGATTAAGTCTTTAGAATGAAAAGAAAATTAATTCATCGATTTATATTATTGGAAAATAAAAATCAATTTTTCATGAGCTCATTTTGAATCTAAAGAAAAGTTTCACCGTTTGTAAACACATATGAGTTTATTAGAGTTAAAATTAATTCCACAATCGGTGTTCACATTTGAAATCACATGTTTCGATAATAATACAATCGCCTGCAAATAAGATTATAAATTTACTGTGCACATACTGACTTCTGTGAAAAACTAATACTCTTGGTTCATGAAATAAAGATATTTTTAATATTACTGCACCAGACTATACCATGTGGTCTTACAATAAATGAAATATTTCAAATACAGAAAAATTGGTCGCGAATAATTTTCAAAAAATGAACATAATTAATCCCTTAGACCCTTGGGCTGCCCAACGAATTAAATATGTTCATTTAGCCGTTGGGTCGTTGGACCGTTAGGTTGCCCAAAAATAATTTAAAATCATTTTCCTCCTTACTTGACGAGGAGGATCCTCCTCACTTTCCTCCTTACCGTTTCTCATCCTCAGAGGAACAGTCCTTGGTACAAATGCTCACATAATGGTACCCTTTGATCCATATTCATTCCAGACAATATATAGCGGTGACATGAATTCAGTTGTGTAACCGATCAATCATCGCAATATGCCCAATTTTCTATTATTGATAACTCTTCCTTTCCTGTTTATCTTCAACGCATTGAGGTTTAAACGTTGGCTTAGCGAAGACACTGAAAGCTACTTCGATGTCCAACCAATATTTACAAAGCTTACCAGGGCTTTACATACTAAGCTCGCTCCTCAATATAGATCGGTAGTATTCAGATAACAAAAGAATGTCTTTTTAAATAGAGAAATTTTCTTTATTTCTTTCATGAGAAAAATAGCCGAGAATTAAGCAATAAATGCTTATATTATGTTTTATGTTAACATCAAATACAAAAAATATATACAAGATTTGCGTGATTAAGTTGTAGTCTTTGGAATGAAAAGAAATAAAATTCGTCGACTATATTATTGAAAAATGAAGATCGCTTTTTTATGAGCTCATTTAAAATCTAAAGGAAATTGTCACTGACCACATATGTGACGAGCCTGTGATGTTGGTGTTTATTGAAGTTGGAATTATTCCATAACCGATGTTCACATTTCAAATCACATGTTTCGATTGTATATTAATACCAATGCTTGCAAAGAAAATTATAAATATACTGTGTGAATGCACAGAGACTTGAGAATATAGCCAAATGTATGATTTTATGTTGAGCAAACGAATTGCAATGTTGAAATAAAAACAATAAAAATATAAAACAACGAAGCGACAGAAGATTCTTTCGCGCTCTCGATTACACTATACGATATGCGAATCATGAGCGTGTATTTGAGCACATTTCTTCAGTGTGTGCACACTGAACCAGAAAAAGCAAAAAAAAAATAATATGTGCACACATTAGGTCCGATCGACTTGGAACATTTTTTAAACGAAGAAAAATCAACCAACATATTTTCGATATTTTTTTTTAATAAAGGTGAACTGAAATAAATTCATAAATATGAAATGATAGCGCCCTCAAACCGTCAAATAAAATATAAGTCTTGAAATAGCCGACACCATTCGCCATTCAATTGCACCAACCTAATTCAAAAAAACACACTAGACCACTGAAACACACATATTCAGATTGAAGAAATGGCTTTGCAAATATCGTTGAATTAGTCTATGGCATTTGTGTAGGCTTGATGGTTGTGGCTGCTGCTGCTGCCGTCGTTGTCGTCGTTCAGCTAGCATTTATCTGTTTCGCTGTCGATGTTGTTCGATGTCTCTTTGAGTCCGCTACGTACGTTCGGGGCTAGTAGCGCGCGCGCAAACACATGTGTATGTGTATATATCATTCTGAGAGTGACTTGAAGTGTGGAATTTAATGAAAGTCGAAAGGTTTCGCGTTTTAGTTTGTTGAAGTCTTTTGCCACGTTCGGTTCGCTGTTGCACAAACCGCGTAAGACAAGAAAAATAAAAGAAACGAATAAACTGAATAAAAAAAAAGAATCGGCTCATTTGCAGTGCATAGCACACGGGTACGTGTTTTCACTAAGAAAATTTACTCTTCAGTATACACATAGCATAAATATTATAAGAAAACTAGAAGACGATACACAAGATGTAGACTCAGAGAGAAGAAAACAAGATAGAGAAATGGCAACGACGACGACGACGACGACGGACCAGAAATTAAAAAAAAAACAGCACACTACGAATTCAAGAACAATAATTTGCTCTGTTGTTATGCATTTCAACCTAGCGCAAACTGAATTCTTTGTTTACAGTGTTTGAAAGACATAGAATATAATTCGAGCAGTTTGTTTAGTTTCTCTCTCTGTGTGTGTGTGCCTTTTTTTCTTCCGTCTAAGCTCATTAATTATGTTATAGATGCGTGTGTGTATTTTGTTCTCATTTTGCGCAAAAATAGACAAAATTATTGTCGTAAAGATATGTGTTATAGTGTTGATTTGAATATATCGTTGCTATCACTGTGCTTCAGCTGAAAACACAATGTTGCAATTTGTTGACTTCCATCATATACTTATCGCAAAACGTTCTACTTCGATTGCGTGTATCTGTTCAAAACGGTGGAATTTTGTTTACAAAATTGTTTGCATCGAATTTAAATGAAGCGAGTTCATATTTATTTGTGATGTTGTTGTTTTTTTCGTCTTCTTCGTTTGCCTCTTTTTCATTCGTTCGCAAGCGATTAATTGACATACAACGGAATAGCACTGCCGTTAATTTCGATATATGTGTTTTTCTATTTTGATAAATCAACATAAATTTCGATGGTTTCGTTTGAGTTTCGAATTGAGCTCTCTATATGCTATTCAGTTTTCACCAAATGTTTCAACGTGCCAGCGATTGTTATCTCACCGTTACTGTTCTGGTTTTTATTTCTTGCTCGTTCCTTTCGAATCCATTCATATTTGGTGGTATATATTGGAGAGTTTTGAATCATTCTTGGAATTTTCGGCAAAGCCGATACTTTTTGTTGTGTTTTTTTTTTCTTCTATTTGTAATCAAATGTGGTGAAACACTGAATATAAATCAATGTTATTAATGATTATATCGAAATCGTTGCTTTTTATTTGTTTCAACATTTCAAACACATTTTAACAAACTCAGAACCAATGAATTACAACACTTTTAAATTTGTTTATTTTGTTTATCCATAGTTTTCAATTTACAGTAAAGAGCACATTTTGCACAAACACATATACAATAGGCGCAACAAGCACAGCTGATCAACAACCCATCGAACCATATCGAAATACTATCGGGGCTGAAGCGTATTGGAGACTGTTTTCATCGAGCTAGAAAAGTGCATCGGTTGACCTTTTGCGACTGGCGTCAAGCACGATACATGCCGATCAAATTCACCATCGTGATACATCAACTCATAATATTTGCAAGAGAGGCAGAGAGAGAGCACAGCGACCTTTTTTATGTGAAAAGTGAAAAGAGAACGAAAGCAAAGCAAAAACTATTTATTGCGAGAAAAAAAAAACAACGTTTGGTTCAAAAGGTGACGACGGCACAGAACACAAGGAAGGAATAGAAATAATATTGGATATCGCATTTTCAAAACTCTGCCGATTTACTGGATAACAAAAGTGAACTAAAGTGACTACATTCTGCTCAAAGTTTGAACATTTAAAAAAAATTGAATAGCGAAAAAAGTTCAATTTTTCAATCCACGATTGCAGAAATAAAATCATTCAAAATTCTGCATAGATTTGTTTGAAAAACAAGTGAGGTCTGGAACGAGAAAGAACTTGTGTGAAAATTAAGTGAGATTGAGTGTTAATAAAGTTTAAAAAAAAAACAATAAGACTATCTTGAATCACGGCACATATATCGACGTGAAAACTCTTACTTTTTGTGGTTCTAATTAGCAACAGGTATGTATGTGATACTTCAACAGTTTGGCAAAAACAAAACTCATATTGAAATTCTATGCTAAAAACACACAACTTCAAACATTTTTTCTCAATTTGAAAAAAAAAAAATTGTGAATTGGCTTAGACGCTTTAGAACAAAAAAGTTTAGAGATAATTTCATAACTAATTGGTGTGGTGAAGAAGTATTTTGCAAATGATATGCTTTCGTGATCAACATTCATAGTTGTCGGTACTATGTAAATGTGGAAAAACAACGTAAAAATTCTATAAAGACCGTATGATATTCTACCCAGGTTTGCTATTGTTCGCATAAATCGCCATGCGCAAATGAATGAACTAGACGAAATATGATCTAGTAGACCACACACCGCAAAGTGAACATAGCGAAAGAGAGAGTAAATGAGTTTATTGTCGTGTGAGAGTGAAATTTCACAAAAAAATGAAATGTCACAAAATCACAAATCATGTAATTCGTGCAGCCAACTTTTCTTGCTGATTGTTTTTTTCATTGTACCTTTTATCTCGAATGATTTGTCACCATTGATTTGTTCGAGTGTGTAAAATGTAATTCTTCATTTGAACGATCATTTCATGATAACAATCAAAAATGCGTTTGCACAATGCAACACAGTCACACAAACAATCATTGTGTGTCTCATCAATCGCAGGTTGATTTCGGTTTTTTTGTTTTCATATTTTGTAATTTTATACACTGAACTGAAGCGTAAAGAAGAAGAAAAAAAAACTATGTGTGAATACAGTCGATTGCATGCATAAATATTTATGTTTGTTGTCTTCTTTGTCGTGTGAAATTCCTTCGATTCAACTTTTGATGTGCACTGTATATATTGACAATGCAACTTAGCGACGAGAAAAAAAAAATGTTGAAGAAGAAGAGAAAAAATTGGTTTGTTTATAATACGTCTCGATTTCGCGAAAAAAAATTGAGAGAAAGAGAGCTTTTGATGACTAGAAATATAAATCAAAATGATTGCAAATCCGCGTACACACGCTCACAGCCAAGTTACCGAAGATGAAAAACATACTCGATGTGTTTGCGTTCGATGTAATTCTCAGTGTATTTATAACTTTCAAGAAATTCTATTTGTTCGACTTGACTAACAACACTTTAATTGGCTGTAGAAAGAAAAAATAAAATCACTTTTGCCTTTTTCTTCTTCTTTTTCTTCGTCTTGTGCACTGTTATTTTGTTGTACCTCAATTACAATATAAAAAAACATAACCATATGATTGAACTTGATCATGTACATGGCTTTAAATGGAGTCTATTGTTATTATCGCTGGTGTTGTTGTTGTTGTTACTGCTCTGTTGATTCATTTGGAACGAAACAATGTGCGACATTTAAACAGCATATTCAAGCATATTTCATGTTCATCTTTTTCGTATGACACTAAATAAATAATTCAATCGGTTTAACAAACCCAAAAGTCGACGCAAAGAAATCAATCGATCGGCGCGCAACATTTAACAAGAATACGGTTCTTTTTCTTCGATTGTATTATGCTAGAGATTTCGTCATCATGCGAAGGCGGCAACGGCATTCGAAAAATACACCATCGAAATGAAAGAGAGAATAATTTATGATCGCATTTTGGCATTTTATGTTCATTGTCGCGATTTTGTATATGTGTGTGTGTTTGTGCGACAATCAAAACGAGCACAGCAATTGCTGTTTACCAAGCAATCGAAAAACCATTCGTGTTTACATGCGATTTTTTATGTGTTGCGCTGCAATTAATTATGTAAGCATCGATCGAATAAATTGAGCTCATGAAATGCTTCATATTCATTAATATCAAATTGTGAATGCGCACACACGCACACACATAATATTCACAATGCAAAATCGACAACAACGAAACAAACCGCGATTCATTCAAATAACATTTGTTTTTTTTTCATGAATAAATATTTGAATAAATGATTGAATGAAAAACGTTTAGGCGATGTAACAAATAAGAGAGAAAACGATTAACATGGCAAGCAGCAGCCACAAAATCGATGTGTACGCGCTAAAATGAAATGTAAGTGTCGATGACAGCAACCATTCTATATCTGAGTCTCGGCTCATTCGGTATAGGAGCCGGTGTATGATGTGATGATGAAGTGGCAAATATAGGCACGCACGTAGGTCGCAACTCAATGCAAACCGATCGATGACTTTTATCTCTCTCAAAACTGGCATTTAAATTATGTCTCTCTGTATGTCTTCTTCGGTCATTATCTAAAACTTCTCTGCTCTGTCTAACTCATCGATAGAACAATGGACTGCTTCAACATTTGGTGGATTTTTTTTGTGTGACAAAATTCTCTTTTTCGAAATCATATATTATCTAATCGTGCATTGACTTGTGTGTTTGATACCATTTATGAACGCACACCATGTACAACATTTGTAATTCGATCATTGTCCATTGGTGAACAATTCACGTATCATACTAGAATTGCGCTTTCACAGTGGAGACAATAAAACAAATCTTTTGTTTGCTCTTTTTTTCATTATAATTTAGGCTATTGATTTCAAATAAATTAAAAATGAAAACAGAACGATTTATCGTTTGGTGTTATTTTCGGTGGTTCACTCTTTTGTGGTGTTGGCATTTCAATTCATAATTCAATCATCATCGTTCACTTTATGGCGGTCCAAAGTGATTTCAAAGCGAAAAAAAAAGAAATACCCATAAGAATCGAATGAGATGAGAGCGGGCGAACGCAGCCTTGTTAAAATTCTTCAAGCAAGTCATAACAATAAAAATCATTCGAACAAAACCAAAAAAAATAAAATAGAAAGAGCAAATAGAGAGGGAAGGAAAAGAGATAGATAGATGGAATGAACTACTGAAAAAAATGTTTGTTATTTTGGATTGTATTCTTGTGTGTACAATGACTAGAATATGAATGTGATGCCATTTTTTATGCCTCCGCTCGATCGTTCGCTCACCCGCCTGCTTGCCATTCTCGCCCAGAACATGAATGAACAATAAGCGGTTGAATTGGCTGGGTACCTCCTAGTTGCTGTTGTTTTATTCACGCAGTCAATTTTGACCATAGTTTTTTTTTATCTTTTCAATGGATATTTTTGCAATGCCATTGTCTTCTTCTTTTTGCTTGATGTATTACTATCACGCTCTAAAATCGGCTTCGGTTTTTTTTGTGACACGCATAACTCAAAATTCATCTGATTGTTTTAGAGATTTGAATTCAATAAATAACATTTCTACATAGATACATTAAGCATTACTTCCAAAAGTGAATTAACAGTGTATTTTTCAATTTTGGGATTGGCATTAGGTTGTTCGCTTGCAAAAATGCACAATTGCATAAGCGCATAATTTCCGTCGCTGTGCAATGTCCATCGTCTGCATACAAATTGCTCTCAAACGATCTCTCTCAATCGTGTGCGCACGTTCACACAAAAAAAACGATGATTAATTTCTGCAAAAACGTCCACTGGTTTTATCTCTCTCTATCTCTCTCTCTGTGTGTGTGTTTCTCTTCTCGGCACCAAGTGTCATTTACTCAATTTCCACTTGCAACGTGCATTTATTCAATGAATTATTGATTGATTTTTAATCCTACATCGACTACGACTTTTCAAGCAAATGTTGATGAAAGTATCGGAATTGTCCGATGTAAAAGAGAGAAAAAAAACCAAAGGAAGCTTGCTTCAATGCATTCGATTTTTTTTACTGTTTTCAATTTTAAAAGCTCAAAACAGTCGCGTTTCTCGATGCAATACAGTTCAAGTGATATTTCTGTTGTTCACCTGAAGCATGCCAACGTGGTTTTAGAGCCACATTATTAGGCAATTGCATTGTAAATAAATGATCGGAAATTTTTTATTCGTACCGGTGAGCTCTCGATCTCTCTCTTTCTTTCCGTTTTTCTCATTCTTTCTTGGCATTATGCGTACGACAGTGACATTTACACTGATAATAATTGTTATGTGTGTACAATTTTTATCGATAGTTTGCAATTAAATTCTTGCTCTGGATGTTTAGTGCTGCTGCAAAGTAGAAGTAAAAGACGATGGCGAAAAAAAAAGAGACACATATCCAATGCCTTCTGTGTGTCTTTCTCTTTGCAATGTGTAGACTCATGTGTCTTCATGGCCATTAACACACATTTACCGCCATTTTATTCTCGCCATCTCGTCTCGTGCGGTTTTTGTGCCAATTTTGCATTTGACTTTTCAATAAATACACTCACACATCGATTCTATTCTCGTTGCATGGGATTTTATAAAGTGAGCGAGAGAAGAATAAACTTAGAAGGAAAACACATACCAAATTTGCAATTATTTTTTTTCTGTCGCGATTGCCCGTTCTGTTTCCATCCATAGAATAGTCTTGTTTTAGCCTCGGGCCAACCAACGGCCAATCTAAATACTGTTTTCGAGATTTTTGTTCGTTCATTGTCATCCATATCGGTGGATTTAACAGAAAACGACGATGTAGTAACATACAAGAAAAAAATAAAATCAAATTCAATCGAATGGTGCTTATCAATAGCAATGAATCATAACAGCATAGCATTTTACATTGTATACACTACACTTATGTAAAGTGAAGAAGATATATCGCAACGATTGAAAATGATGAATAGTCTTCGGTTTTTATGAGTATTTCATCTTCGGACATTTACCGTTAATTAAACATGTGACCCATTACCGATCGATACGTGCTACCTCTCAGCACATGTAAAATAGATTTTTTTTTTTTCAATTGTCATCATCACTTTTAGCATCTTAGTGTACTGTGCAAATATTTACAATTGTTCCTCTCATTTCTTCTCCATGTTTCAGTTACGCCATTTTATTGACGATGGAGTTTTTTTTTTATTTGAATTTTGCTTTCTTTTTCAAGTATGGCAATCAAGTGATTTTTTTTTCTATTTTCCTTCCAGTGAGAGAGTGTTAAAGTTTATTTTTTCTGGATGTGAATGAAATTGAATGGATGTGAACCGACATGATGATACT